AAGGGCGAGAGGTGCACCAACATCTACAAAGCAGACGTTACAGCAACTGCAAAAGGTATACGAACTTGGTACTCAAAGGAAGACAAAGATGGGTATAGATAGAAAATGATATAATCAAAGGGTAGAAACTTCAAAAGAGAATACATAGCAAAATATTGTTGGCAGAGAAAAGGCCCATCCTTCCTCTCTGAACCCATAAGTCTTGGTGGGACTCATTTCCTCTTCTCCATGAAGTGGGGAAATTTTTCTGATTTGAGCAAAACTGGTCTCATCAAGTGAAAAGAGGTGTCAGGTAAGATGGAATAGAAAACGGCATCTTAGGAGCAAGATCAAGAATCTAGAGACTTTTTCAAAATCTAATGATACTGAAAGTCCACAAGAACTGAGGATGTAAACGAGGCTAGAGGATGAGAGTACTAGAGGAAAAACCCTGAGAGGCCCCAGATCTCAGCACTATTAGGTAAAAGCCGTCATGGAAAATAGGCTGAAGGCACATGTTGTTCAGGAATGAGAAATACTGAGCAAGAGAGTTTGGTTTAAAGGCTAACTAACAGAACTTACCAGTGCCAAGTTTCCACCTGGAATGTTAGCATGATGGTATTCACATCCTGTGTTGTTAGGAGGGCATGGATGGGGGTCTTCTCTCTGTTTTACTCTTTAACTTGGTAGGTCTTTTCTATTTATACACTTATTGTTGAGTAGAGTAATTGTGACATCAGAAGGCAAACACCCAATCATGGCTTTATGCTTTTCTTTTAAAATTTCTTCTCACTTTTATTAGCATTTCACCCTTTTGTCACCGCCTGAGCTGTGTATCACTTCTCACCCGCTCTTACGGGTTATGGTATAGGGTACAATGTGCTAACATCCTAACATCCTAACTTTGAAATAGATTTTTGGCAGTTTTGGGACCAAGGGTTTAGAAGTATTCAACTGGAATATATCTTTCTCATGAATCTCAGCCATCATAACATCAATTTTTTGCTTTTTCAGAAAGTGAACATTACTGTCTGGATGACCAGGTTGTCATGTCACCTTGTGACATCATCAATGTTTATATCATGCCTACATCTATGCAGTGAGCACAGGTGGTCCCTCTCTTAGGGAAGATAAGGCAACATCTTCAAACAAAATATGAAATTTGACTCAGTTAAACATTATTTCTTCTCTAGTAAATCTTAACTACTGGTATGTTCATTAAGGAATTTACATATACTGCTTTATTAGGACATATGTTACATTTTGTTTTCAAATCCCCCTTGACCCATTTGATGGCACTTCAACTTTGAAGCTACAAGATTGACTCTTTCAGGATGTCAAAAGGGAGGAAAGATTATGTAAGAGAAACCTAAGTTTGTGAATGGAGAAAATAGTTGTGTCATGTTAGAGGCTCAACTGAATCATGAGCAGGTCAAATGTGTTAGTTTAATTGAGAGATGCATTTTTCAACACTGAAAGTTTCTTATACACTTTTTAGCTTTGAAGGAAAGATTGAAAGGGGTTGGTGTAAATCAACAATGTTGCTTTGTTAAGTGTGTTTGCAAGAAGCAAATATCTTCCAAGATAAAAATAATTAGAAACTGTGATAGGAGCCTTCTGTTATAAGGTTAATTAAGATAAAAATAATGTATCTGTATTAACAAAAGGCCAAAGACTCACTGAACCAGCTACCTGGACTTTTTACAATGGATTGGCAAGATAAAGATTGTAGATGCCACCTACTGAGGCAGCGACAACCTTCACAATTAAGGTAATATTACTCTTTCTCAGAACATTTGTATTTAATTATGAGTTCAGCATTTGCTTTCTCATTGTATTGTAGGCTTCCTAAAGGCAAGGATCATATTCTCAGAATTTTTCACAATGTCTGGCATGCTATAAACTCTCAGTAAATATTGATTTGAAAATAACCTAATTTTAATTTGAGGAAATTAATCAAGTTGGGAAATCATGCTAGTTAATACACTGATTTCCTCTGTTAATCAAACTTTAGCAATAAAATTGAGATAGGAGTAGGCAAGTACAAATTTTACAAATAACTTAGTCATTTTAATCACTATTTTCTAACTCCTCTTTCTGTAACAAGGCTTTTTCTAGAAATGATTTTGATCTGCCTTTTGAGAAAAACGTGGTCAATAACAGTGATCCCATGAATAGCAGATAGAAAATGTCAAGGGCCTAGAAATGAAAAATTATATAATAAGCCCTGGGTGGGTGGCTTAGTTGGTTGTAGTGTCCTCCTGAGGACCATGGGGTTACAGGTTCTACTCCCTATTGGGGTGCATGCCTAGGTTTTGGGTTGAATCCCAGTTGGTGTGTACAGGAGGCAACTGATAGATGATTCACTCTTACATCTGTGTTTCTCTCTCTCTCTCCCCCTTCCTCTCTCTCTAAAATCAATAATAAAAATACATATCCTCAGGTGAGGATTTAAAAAATTACATAATCCTCACGTTATATGTGTAACACATTTTATGCTATATACTGACACAAGTAACATTTGATATTGTTTGTGGCATAGGAGACCCTTGTCACCTCTCTCCCAACTGTTAAAGTAGAAACTGGGTTTTAGCAACATAGAAATATTTTGAAATAAATTAATTCACTAACAATATTTGGTTCAAAGATAACCATCAGATTGCACAAAAGTGCCGGGAGAAAAACCATCAGATACATTCGTCAACAGTTACAGTGCAACAAAAATAAAGTAGACTCTTCTGGAAACATCTTAGGAGCAAAGACCTTAACTATGTAAATCAAAACTAAAAGGCCACAGTGATAGGCAACAGGCATGTATCTGATATCCAAAAGACCAGCTATTCAGAAAGCAGTGATTCAGGCAGAAATCCAGATAGTATTCTCACGAGGGAATGAAGGAAAGGGATTTTCATGAGAAAGGGACAGAGAATAATCACATTAATAGAAGGAGGGAATTTCTATAGGCACAGATAAGCTAAGTTACTCTTTAGCTATACATGGTGCTGCTAATTCTAAAGACTGTCTTTACCTTTCAATAGTCAGAATATGTGCTTTGCAAACAGTTGTTTGGAATACAACAACTTGTATTCCATGTTGCTTTGTCCCAGTTATTTTGCCCATTTAAAACATTTCAAAGTTTGAGGAGTAAGACGGATAAGGCAGCTCCTCTGCATGGCGACTTCCACCCCATTTTGAAGTGGCTCTCTTTATGTTATTTTCCATAGCTGAGATCATCAGGTCCTCAGAAAACAGTGATGATCTGGGGGTATAACTCTAGATGTACTGTCTCTTTCACAACCCACTCAGTAAGCATTTATCCTTTGGCTGCAAAACTGGTTTTGGTTGGATATGAGGAATCCAGTCAGGAGCTGCTGAAGATTTCCTCGAGGGTGAAATGGGTGGATATGGGAGTCCTATTTACAATGACCACCATTTTGCAAACTTTTTAAACACTTTTTTTTTTGTTGTGCAAAAAACTTTTATCTACTATAAAGACAAAACCACTTTGAAAGAGAAACATCTATAAATGTGGTAGTAAAACGGGAGGGCAACCTAGTCCAGGGCTCTTGCTGCCTGTCATGGCTCAGCCAAAAAGCAGACATGGGGACTGGATTATAACGGATCTTGTATCAATATCAGAGGCCGACAATCTGAGAATGTGGTAGGCAAACACCCCAACATCCACCTCCCCTTGAGCTTTCCGAAGCAAGTTAGGAGAAAAGTGGGAATTTGGGAGGGGGAAATTACTAGGGAGAGCTGAAAGGGGAGCCTGGCAGCTTCTTCCCAAGTTCGCAAGTTGTTACAACACCTGTGGTTTATGGCCAGGACGGTGATATGTTCTCTGATGAGAGAGAAGAGGCATGAACCATTCGCTCTCAAGTGTCTTTGGTTACAGGAGATAAGGTCTTGTGATTCACTGACTGGCTGTAAGTTGCTCAAACTGTCTGGACTTGTTGAATTTTCCTGTCTCAGTTTCTCCCTTGCATTTGCCCAGGAATTTTCCTTGCATTCTACCATTTTGTCTCAGTAGGAGGGGGAGGACAAGGAGGATGGCACTTACTGAGAGCCTACTGTCAGTTATAAAACAAAGCGCTTTCAATGGTTAATCTGGTTAAATTGAACCTACAACACTCGTGAGGTAGAGAAAAACCCCCGTTACAGAGGAAGAAACTGAGAATTACAGAAATTTGGAGACTTGCTTAGTTAAGAAGGCACAAAAGAACTCAATCCAATCCGTTTTTTAAAAAAGATTTTATTTATTTTTATTTTTAGAGAGAGGGGAAGAGAGAGAAACATCGATGTGAGAGGGACAGGGATTGGTTGCCTCTCAGGCGCGCCTCCAACCAAGGGCCTGGTCGGAAAATCAGGCCTGTAGGGACCGGAATGGAACTGCAGGTTCACACCCACCCCCTGGGCCAGCTCCAGTGAGGGCCCGTCCTGTCGGTTTTGATGTCATGCGCGGTGAAGGATCTCCTGCGTTACAGTGGAGCAGCCAGGACCCAAAATGCTTCCCAAGTGTGGCCAGTTAGAAATTAGGACAGAGAATCTACAAGTTAGGACAGAGAATCTGGGGACAGCAGGGTAAAATACAGGGAAGGAAAAAGCAGGACTTAAATTCATTTTCAATTGAAACTCAGCAATTCCTAGAATGGGAGTGGCAGAGATGCAAGTGAACAGTTCTTTAGGAAACAAGTAGGGACGTTTTCAGTAGCCCCCACCACACACTTGTTCGGGTAACTGTAAGATCGACCGACTGAAAGTCGCCAACCAACAGAGAATTTGTTTGCTTCCCCTGCAGGGCTCTTCCCTTGCAGCCCCCGAAGGACCAAAGGAGCCAGGAGTTGTTTCACGGGGGATTTTACCCTCCCCGGGAGGATGAAGGGCGGAGGCGTAGTCAGAGGCGGCCACGGCCTGCGGAAGCGTGGATGCTCGCCAGGTCCCCTTTCGCACTCTCTCCGTTCATCTGCACTTTCCAAGCTCCTTACAGCAGCCTGCGCTCCAAGCTCAGTTGCGAAGAAGCCATGGCGAAGTCCAGGGGCCGTCTCTACCTTTGGATGTGCTTGGCTGCAGCGCTGGCGTCTTTCCTTGCAGGATTTATGGTGGGTAAGTAAGTGTTCAACCCCCAGAGCAGCCGCTCCTCCGTGGAGAAAAGCGGGTTGGGCTGTAGTGGCCTCGCTCGGCCAGTGGAGCTCAGTCGCAGTGGAGCTGGTGAACTCCCGGAGTTTCGGCCAGACTGGAAATCTAGTGGAATGCATTTGGGCCTTCCTGCTAAAGTGTGACTGAAATCCGGATTTATTAAATGCTCACTGAGTCAGGGTACTGGTAAGGGCTGTCGGAAAGACAGGTTAGAGCTGTCACTATCCGCCGGTATGAAAACGGTTGTTTCATTTCCAAGCATTATTAATGAATCAAAACTTCTAATTAGTATGTGCAGCCCTGCAAAAACTGCCCTTCCTTCATCGTGTATTAAATAAATATTTGTAGAATGCTGACTGTGTGTCAGACACTGTACTGAGAACTAGTTCCCTCGTGGAGAACAAAACAAAGGTCCTTGCCTTGATGCCTAAGGTGGGAAAATGAAAAGAACTTCCCTCATACAAAACTCTTTAACCAACTCAAAATCACATTATACAGCAGAAGTTGAAGGTTCCCTGCACTTAATGTGAATATATTTGTAGAGCTCACCATGCTCTATTTCTTACTTAGGGAAGGGCTATTTTTGGCATCCAGCTTTTATAAAAGTCTAAAACAATTAAGTGTATACATGGCATATATATGTGCATATGTGTATTCTCCCCTTAGGCTGGTTTATTAAACCTCTGAAAGAAACCGCTACTACACTGCGCTATCATCAAAGCATACGGCAGAACCTGGTATCCGAGATGAAAGCTGAAAATATTAAATCATTTCTTCGGTAAGTTTGTTTTGCATATTAGATCTTAAAAATAAAGTGTTTAAATTATTGCAGAATGAGAAGTGTATTAAAACTGGTTATATTCATATAGGTAGTCTTCTTTGAATGAAATTATACATCACAATCATTTATGGTAGTTAATGTCCTTACACGACTCTTAGGGTAAAATCTATTTGAATGTTGCAGGAGTCTTTCTTCCCTAACTTCATCCATAGAAAAATTATCTGATTGTTTTATTGAGAGATGTTTCAACTTTATGCAACTTTGGGCTACAACTGAATGTTATTTTTTGTTCCTCACTGCCTGGATTTAATCAGTAATGTTATTTAAGCATTATGTTTTCCAGGAATAACTGGTTGTAAATGTTGACTTTGAGGAAAGGAGGTTAAAGTTTCAGATTCTGTCTGCTGCAGGTTAAACCTCTCTCTCATGTTGCAAATATGCAAAATATGCAAAACACAAATAGGACAAAAGGAGAGCAAATGGATCAGTGAAAATCCACCAGTCTCTAGGCATGAAAAAGAGTGATATCTGGGGGCGTGATTATGAACTCCTTGAAGGTAGTCACCATGACATTTATTTCTATGTTCAGGATCTTCCAAAGAATTGTCATAAGGAATACCCCAGCTTTACTGAAGCATTACTTATATAAAATAAACTGCTTCCATATAAAGCCTACAACCTGAGAGTACTGACAGATGAATAATATACTCAACATACCACCTCCACAATCTTGATACAGAAAATTTACATCATGTCCTTTGCAGTTTATTCCTCCCTTCACCCTTGACCCCTGACAATCACATATCAGTTTTATGTCACTGTGGATTCCTTTGTATTTTCTAGAATTTTATATAAGTGGAATCATACAGTAAGTTTATTGTTTTTTACTGCTGATTAGTATTACATTGACTGAATGCACTACATTGTGTAGATGATGGACATTTGAATTTCTAGGTTTTGATTATTATGAATAACACTGCCATGAGCTTATGTTTGCAAAATTTTGTGTATACATATGTATTCATTTCTCTTGGATGGCTGTTTTTGGATAATATAGCTAGCATATGTTTAACTTTTTAAGAAAATGCCAAACAGACTTCAAAAGGGATTATACCATTTTCCATTTCTACTGATCTTGGATGAATGTACAAATGCTCCACATCCTGGCCAACCCTTAGTATTGTTAGTTTTTTAAATTTTAACCATTCTAATGGGTGTGTAGTGGCATCCCGTTGTGCTTTTAATATGCATTGCCCTGATGTTAAGCATCTTCTAATGGGCTTTTTGGATAGTTGTATATCTTCTTTTATAAAGTCCTTCCTTAAGTATTTTTCTATTTTTGAATTGTTTTGTTTTCTTATTATTGAGTTCTAGGATTTCTTTATTCTGGATATACCTGTGTCAGACATTTATTGTGAATATCCTGTTCTATGGTTGGCCTTTTTTTATTTACTTAGTGGAGATTTTGAAGGGCAGAGATTTTTAAGTACAGTTGACTATTTTTATTTTATGTTTCGTATTCTGTGTGCTATTGGACTTTGCCTGTGAGAATTTGGGAAGATTTTTAAAAACTTTTTTAGAAGTTTTGTAATTTTAGCTTGCACATACATTTAGGTCGGTGATCCACTTCCAGCTAATTTTTTGTGTGTGGTAGGAGGTAAGAGTTGATGTCTTTTCAAATACAAATATTAGTTTATTCCTGCAACATTTGCTGGGAAAAAAATAAAACTTTTATTTTTCCATTAAATTTTCTTGGCCTCTTTGTTCAAAATCACTTGACCATAAGATGTGTGGTCTGTTTTGGATCTTATATTTTTTCTAATAATGATCTCTAGATTTATATATCTCTATACTGCACTATATTTTTTAGTATAGTTTAATAGTAAGTCTGAAAATCAGATAGAGTTAGTCATACTTTTTTAAAAAATTGCTTTAACTATTTTCAGTCATTTGTGTTTCCAAGTAAATTTTAAAGACAACTTCTCAATTTCTACAAAAACAAAAAAAGCTTCCTGGAATTTTGATTAAAATTGCATTGACTCTATATATGAATTTGGGAGAGAAATAATATTTTTAAAATACTGAGTCAATCTCTTCTTTCATTCATCTTGGGGGATATACTACAGTTTAACTTTTCACTCATTGAGGGACACTGCCATTTTTCCCAGTTTTGGGGTATTAACATATGCATAAAGGTTTTATGTAATCATAGGCTTTTATTTCTCTGAGACAAATGCCCAAAAGTGAAAATTGCTAGGTTGTACATTTTTAGTTTTAGAAGGGTCTGCCAAACTACTATATAACATGGCTGTATTATTTTATGTCTTCTAGTGACATTATCACTACTTTAAATTTTATTCATTCTGGCAGGTGCATAGTGATACCTCATTGTGGTTTTAATTTGCATTTTCCAAAGGTTAATTAATTAATTATATTGAACATCTCCTGTGCTTATTCATCATCTGTATACGCTCTTTACTGAAATGTCTGTTCATGTCTTTTGTCTATTTCTACATTTTTTTCCTTTTGAGCTTTGAGAATTCTTTTATTTTCCAAGTACAAGTCCTTTGTAAGCCTTGTGGTGTACAGACATTTTTCCCAGTCTGTTATTTGTGTTTTCATGTCTTAACAGGGGCATTTGCAGAGCAGAAATTTTTAATATTAATGAGGTTCAGTTTATCAGTTTTTTCTTTTATGGATCATGCTTTTGGGTTCATGTGAATAGTCCTTGATCCCTTTTCTCCTCCCTCTCTTCTCCCAAATTTTATAGTTTACATTTTACATTGAAGTCTGTGATTCACCTGGAGTTAATTTTTACATAAAGTAAAAATGTTTGATGAAGTTTATTCTCCTGCCTATGGATATATCTAGCACCATTTGTCGAAATGCTATCCTTCTTCCCTTTAATTGCTTATCCACCTTTGTCAAAAATTAATTGGACACAGCCCTGGCCAGGTAGCTCAGTTGGTTAGAGTGTTGTCCCAAGATGCCAAAGCTACGGGTTCAGATTCTTGTATGTGCCTGGTCAGGGCACATAACAAGAATTTGAAAAAGATTTTCTAGGAGATGCCATAATGAAATAAATTGTAGGACAGTTGTATACTTTGATTATTCATAAAATATATATTAAGTAGCATTGTAACAGTCAGGAAATATACCAAAAAAAATTAGTTGGACATATTGTGTGAGTCTGTTTCTGGGTTTCTATCTTGCTCTATTGATCTGTGTGTCTACTTTCTCCAGTACTACACTGTCTTTATTTATTTACTTCATTAAATTTATTGGGGTTACATTGGTTAATAACATATAAGTTTCAGTAAAATGGCAGAGTGTCCTATCAGGTGGAATGGAATGCCTATATTTAAATTTATGTAAGTTAAAAGGCCAGATAAAATGTTAACACTGTTGAATTATCCACAGCATATCATGAAGTGTCCAGAAGAAATCACATAGAAAATAGTATGAGGTATCAGAACCAAAACTTGGCCAAACATTAAAATCTATGTCTGTTTATTATAGCTCTACTTTGTTCTATTTTTTTATTTTTAATTTTTAGATTTATTTATTTTTAGAGAGAGGGGAGGGAAGGGAGAAAGAAAGGGAGAGAAACATAGATTGGTTGCCTCTTGCATGCTCCTCACTGGGGACCTGGTTTTTAACCCAGGCATGTGCCCTAGTTAGGAATTGAATCAGTGACCCTTTGGTTTGCAGGCTGTGCTCAATCCACCGAACCACACCAACCAGGGTTCTGCTTTGTTTTAAAGTGTAATGTAGCATAAGGTGGTAAGTTATGTATGAAAAATTTGCATGATGATTATATGCGTGGAGTTGGCTTTTCTTTACATTTAACTGAATACAGAAATTGACAAGAATAAAAGTAGAGTGAAATACATTGAATCAGAAGCCCAAGATTTGAATGAATGAAGAGGAGTTACCCAGTTTTCACCACACCTAGCATGTGTAGAATGCATCAGCTTTCGGTATGAGCTTCAGAAGAATTGTTATTTTTGAAAGAAGTAAAAGGAAATACATTTCAAAGGGCCAGGGGAGAATAAGGACTCCTACTTGATCTCCTAGCCCCGAGATATGTGGGAGCATGGGAAATAAAACAACTTGGAGGAGAACAGGGACCTCTGAAGAAATCAGTTAAGGCAAGGAGTTGGAGTAAACATTCAGAGAAGAGGCTAAGGGCAGAGAATTGTTGTCATAGATCCAGAGGGTTCAGGAGAAAAAGGATAGAGTTGAGAGTCTAGGAGGGAAAGGTGGGGTTCAGAATTTTGTTAAAGGGATTAATGTAGTGGGAACAATTTGATTTTTCTCCAGGCTCTTTCTTGTTGGCACATCTTTAACTGTTGCCTGTTTGTTCTCCTTTAGGAGGGCAGGAGTTTAGTAAGGATTGCTTTCCAGCCCAGGAATCTCTTGATTGGTCCATAACCCAACTATAACTCCCCTCTGGCAATGGTTCGTTTGAGAAGGGGTGTATAACCCTATTTTACCTGATGAAATGTGAGGAGAATTCAGCTGAGGTTTTCCACAAAAAGCTTCCCTCTGTTAAAAGAAACACAAAAGAGGACATAACTGTTCTAGTTTCTATTTGTTTGTCCTCAACATTATTGTGTGAATATATAACACCTAGAGCTGAACGCTCAAGTTGGGACCATAAGGAGAAATGCAGATGTAAAGGATGTTATGCTCTGCTGCTCTTTTTTTTTTTTTTTTTTTTTTTTTTTAGCATTTCTTTATTTCATTTCAGTGGGTTCTCTAAAATAGGTGAGGCAAAAGTTCATGGTTAAGTCTCCATTTTAACTTAAGAAAATATATTTATTTTTCCTAATTGTAAGGATATTGTCTGCTCACTGTGGAAAATGAAACAATTACAAATTATGTAAAGTAGAAATAAAGTATTCCCAGCCTTGCTGTATTTTTGTTATAAAAAATAACTTTGGTCTATAAAAACAATTTTTTTTACAAACATTGTATAAGTTATTAATATCTGTAACCTGCAGTTTTGCTTTAATGCTATGCGAGGTCTGGCAGAAGAAAGGCCCACTTGAATGTGGCTGGTAGGGTAATGATATGGGTGTAATAATTCATAGTTTTAATTCGAACATTTCACCTAAAACGTCATATGGTGTGCTTGAGTGTGATACTATAACATTACAGAATTTCATACTTATGATTTTGTAATAAAAGAGTTTGTAATAAAAAGGCAGTGATATTTGTGCCAGGCCCTGTAGAAAGGGAAGTCTTCACTGAGGAGATGGAGGCTCGAGGAAGTCCTAAGGAACAATTAATAGCCGGTAGGAGAGAAAGGTGAATGAATAGAAGTGGTAATAGAGGGAGATTCAGTTAAACAGGACATTTACGTTTGAGAGAAAACCTTGTGAAAAGGCTACAAGGTGATCACATCAGGAGAAAAATGAATCTATTAGATGATACAGAGCGGAGAAGTTAATAAGTAGAGTGGGACATGACGCTGGAAGGTGGAAGGTGGATCCTGTGAACACGAGGCCCAGCCCAGGCTGGGCTCAGGTGGTTGGAGCGCCTTCCTGTACACCAAAAGGCAGTGCGTTCGGTTTTTGGCCAGGGTACAAACGGGAGGCAACCAATAGGTGTTTCTTTCTCTCTTCCTTTTTCTAACCATATCTTTGGGTGAGGATTAAAAGTAAAAATTAAAGAAAAGGAAAAGAGCACTCTATGCCATGTCGGGGTATGAACTAATAATGCAGGGGTAGGGAGCCAGAGAAGGATTTTAAGCAATTGAAAAATATGATCAGATAAATGTTTTTAAAATAATCACTGTTTATCAAGGTGAAACAAGTACAACCTTCAGATTCTAGTCCTGGTGTTCAATAGTTGTGGAATTGTGAACAAGTTCTTTAAGTACTCTCTTTTTCCTCATTTTCAAAATGGGGAGAGTGGAATAAGAGTTATGAGGATTAAATGAGATAACCCATGTGAAAATACCTGGTCAAGTTCCTGGCATATAGGAAGTTTTCAATAACTGTTAATTTTCCTTTTTTTTTTTTTTTGTTCTATGGTTGACTAGAAAACCAATTTACACAAGTATTATTGCTCTACTGATAGGGGAAAGGGGTTGGGGAGACTTTTAAAATATTTACTTCAAGCAAAGTATATCTCATTAAGGACTACATTCATAGGACCACCTAAATGTTTCAAATCATTTAAACCCAGAACCAAGAGAACATTGCCCAAATTCAATTCAACAAACCTCTGTTGTATAATTCTTAGATAACAGGTAGGAACTAAGCAGGAGGAAATATGACACTAGAAATGCATCAACTTTAATAAGATAAATAATTGCACACAATATAATGAAACAACAGTAGACATATATGTTAAGTAGACTGCCCAACTGGTTTCTGGCAAACATTTTTTTTTCCATCAAAATGTACTTATTTACTGATGAGCAGAAATAAGGCACGCCGTTGGTAGGGAGGTGTGTTTGTCCAGGGTGTTTTCTCACACCTGGGCCTCTGCTGATTGTATGTACTTACCTCAGAATACATGCTTTTCCAGGGGAGCATAATGTGAAAACTACAGTTATACACAAACATTTAAAAACTGGGTTGGGGCAGAAAAATAAATTTTTCTCCCACATTTCTAAGGTCTTCTGGCTGGAATAATAATAAAATTAACATGAGATGAATTAACAGGAAAAAAATAACGACATTTATTTACTTATTTTTAAAGATTTTATTTATTTATTTTTAGAGAGAGGAGAAGGGAGGGAGAAAGGGGGAGAAACATCAATGCATGGTTGCCTCTTGCACGCACCCTACCTGGGGACCTGGCCTGCAACCCAGGAACGTGCCCTGGTTGGGAATCAAACCAGCCACCTTTTGGTTTGCAGGCCCACACTCAGTCCACTGAGCCACACCAGCCAGGGCAAAAAATAACCAAATTTAATACATAAGTATACACGGGTGTTCCATAAGAATATGGGGCCTGAGCACAGATCAGGCAGTTAAGGCTTATAGTCCATCTTGAGCTAAGAAGAAGTGGCATTAGTGGTTTGGGACTTAAAAGGGCAAGAAGGCAATTCTCATGGAGATGGAAAAGCCAATGTTTGGTAAATACGGGTTTTCTGGGCTCTCTTTAACAATGGGACAAGTCAAATGGGCTTTGCTAGGTTCCTCCCTGTCTATCACACTTAGTTCATATCAAACTATAGTTATCTATAATGATATCTACCTTCCTAGAACAGGTCCTCTATCTAAATTATTTTAGTCCATAAGGAATAAGGCCAAAGGTTATTTCTTGAACATAACTAGCTTAAAATAATCAATATCCCAAAAGGCGTATTTTGGGGTGGCAAACTTTGCTCCCCCTCACTAGAAATTGGTAAGGCTAGTGGGGTTTTATTATATCCCTGATACAGAAATGATAAATTAATGGCTAAAGTATGAGTAATGGACCTAGAATAGTTCTTAGGCACATCATTTGAATATAGTCATCTTTAACTCTCCCTTGTATTTTATTTTCATTTTAGTTCTTTTACAAAGCTTCCTCATCTGGCTGGAACAGAACAAAATTTACTGCTTGCCAAGAAAATCCAAAGTCAGTGGAAGAAATTTGGACTGGACTCAGTCCATTTGGTTCATTATGATGTTCTCTTATCTTACCCTAATGAGACAAATTCCAACTATGTATCAGTCATGGATGAACATGGAATTGAGGTGATGTAGAATTGTTGGTACTTCTCATATGTTACAGCTTCACCTATTTATGTGAATTGGAATTTAGGGTCAAATAAAATTAAATTTGTTCATAATGCAATGGACCTCATTTTCTAGAAGTTAATAAGTTGCAAACTAATTATTCAGTGTTTACTATGTGTTAGGCACAGTGATCATTCCTGAGACCAGAATGAAGACTAGGACATGGTTCCTTTGCTTAAATAAGGTGAGGCAGACATTAGAATGCATATTTCACATCAACTTTATAGTAAGTGCTATAAAGAGTATGAGTAGGGTTCTTTGTCTACAATGAAAAGGACCGGTTGGCCTAGCATTGACAAAAGAACGTCCAAACCTGTCGAGAATTTTTATAAGAGTTTGAGCAAACTCATGGCATATGTCAGGTTGCAGCTTTTTATACATTTGAAATCAAGTAGGGAACATAAGGAAGATTACCTGGAGGTATGAGAAAATAAAGTAGAAAATGAAGTCAGGATAATTAACAAGATTATGTACTCTTGAGGGTAGTAATTTCAAAGGTATGTTAATTTAGATGCACAGAAGTAATGGTCAGGGCTTGCTTAAAGCAAAGGTAAATTTACTAAAAATTTATATGCCTATTTTTACAAAAGACAATTATGGAGAAATGTAGGAGTAAACATTGTATTTAAGTGGAATAATAAACATTTTTTAAAGGAAAAAAAGTTATATGACTAGGGTGTGACTACCCACCATGTCCTGCCCAGTTAGGAATTTATGATGATCAGATCACCCTGTGAGGTTACTTTCCACAGAACTCCTTTTCTTGTCCACACCACCCTGTAAGTCAGAGAAGACTTCCTGAAAGAGTTGATATGAGAATCATGAAAGATTCTAAAGGATTAATTAATTCCATGAAAAAGCAAGATAAGAGGTCTCTAGGCAGAAGAGAAAGTATCAACAAAGCTTGGAGACATATACTAGTTTAGTGTTGTTAGAGGGATTTAAAGATTTTCTTTATTTCAAGAGTATAAAATACAAAGTGAGCCTTGATAAGAGATCAATCAGGATACAGTTGACTCTTGGACAACATGGGTTGAGGAGCGCTGACCTATAATCCTTGTATAACTTGTGATTCCCCAAAACTTGACTAATAGCCTACTGTTCACTAGAAGCCTTACTGATAATATAAACAGTCAATAAACACAGCTTTTGTATATTATATGTATTATACACTATATTCTTGCAAAAAAGTAAGATAGAAAAAAGAAAATGTTATTGATAAAATTATAAGACAAAATACACTTACAATACTGTGAGATATGTGCAAGTCCACATATAAGCAGACCCATGAAGTTCAAACCTGTGTTCTTCAAGGGTCGACAGTATATGTTTTAGGGACCTGTCATAGAAGGACTAATACACTGTCCTAAGCAGCAAGGAATTCAGCCTCACTCAATTGAAACCATTGACAAGTCCTGAGCAAGGAAGGGTGTGGCTAGCAAGATAATTTAGATAGTTTGAGCAGTCTGCACATTAGACCTAGACTGGCCAAGGAGTTAAAGTTGGAGTCTAAGACAATAGTGCAGGTAGATGGTGAAGCCCTGAATGAGGACGTTAGCAGGAACGAGGAAGCGGGATAGATTTTAGAAATAGTTAGGAAGCAGTATTGGCAGGTATTGACTAGTGATTGGAGGAAGGAGGTGAGAATGGAGTTCAACTTGATTCCTAGGTGTCTGGTGTGGGTGGCTAGCTAGTCATGATAACAAAAGCAGCAGGGAATGCAGATCCAGAGGCAGGCTTGGGGGGAGAGAAGATAAATTGAGAGTTTAACAGCTGAGTTTGGACATGGCTAGCTGAAATGCCTGTCAGGCCCTTCATTATAGAGTCTGGAAAGCTGAGCATCGCAGACTCATTAGGTATGGATAAAACTTTAAGAGTCAATGAGATCTTACAGGAAAGGAGTAGGAAATGAGGCCAGCACTGTGCTGGGGATAAAACTCAGGAAACATTATTTAAATACAGATGAAAGAAAAGAGGCTGCCAAAGAAAGCTGAAAGGAATAGGAGTATCATGAGAATGCTTCCTTCGAAGCCCTGTTTTTATACTTCAGATGGGAACTTTTAGTTACCGAAATTGCATGTATTTGTAGAAGTTTCTACTATTTGGAAGACAATAACAATGATAATGCTCTTTCTTATTGTTGCCAGTGGAATTTATTTAATCACAGAACCTGGTTTCCAAATGCTCTACCTTAAGTATATACTTGAGGGCAAAATGCATTATTCTTTAATAGCAACCTAGAAAATTTCTAACTTCATGTGTTTCAATGCTTGCTAGGTTTTTAAAACATCATACTTTGAGCCACCACCAGATGGATATAAGAATGTTACAAATATTGTACCACCATATAATGCTTTCTCAGCCCAAGGCATGCCAGAGGTAAAATAAAAGATATTTTCTTACTCAACTCTTTAAAACTGTCTGTTATATAAAACTTATGTGGAGGACTAAACCAAGGAGAGTAGGAGGATCATACATGCTGATCTTTGAGGTTCAGTGCTATGTACACATTTCCTGAGACGGAGAAGGCGGGAGGAGGGAGAAGAAGAGGAAGATGAGGAAGAAAAGGAAGAAGGAGAAGAAGGGGGAAAAGGGGGAGAAGGGAACACTAGAAAAAAAACAAAAACACATAAAAACCAGAGTCTGATAGAGCAGATGCTACTCTGAAATAACAAAGAAACTGCTAAACATGGTTTTAATTCAGTAAGGGCAATGGATGTTTTTACAAGCTTTTTCCTTTGTTCATAGACTGACTTTGCTACAGACTTATTGATGTGATTTATAGATCACATTACAGAAATTTTAGGATGAATACCATGGAAATTAAACATAGTTGGGATTTTAAAATGACATTTATTTCCTGTGACTTAGGATACAAAATAGATAATTTCTTCAAAATAGAGTACATGGTTTAAAATGTTTTACATGTTGTCATTTTTAAAACTTTTGAGCATATTGAAATATTTTCTGACTACTTCTACAGAATGAGCATGGATCTATTTATTAAACCCAAACCAGGAAAGAAAACTTTTGATGATGCAGTTTTGTGAGACAAAGTTATTTGGTTTTCTCTTTAACTAAAGCAGTATTATGTATTGTTTTTCTTATTTTTTTCCCCTACAGGGAGATCTTGTATATGTAAACTATGCTCGTACTGAAGATTTTTTCAAACTAGAAAGAGAAATGGGCATCAACTGCACGGGAAAGATTGCCATTGCCAGATACGGGAAAATCTTCAGAGGAAATAAAGTATTGTTATTTGTCTTTCTGGAGGGAAGAAGATAAAATATATCCTGTAACTGTAAATGAACATCTTATATCCCAGTTTCCAAAATTGCTTTCACTATATCTATATATATGTGTATATAAAAATATATATGTATGTATAAAAATATATATGTATACACACTTCCATGGTTGCACAGAAAATCCTATTTTTATGTTACCTCACATATCTAGAAAGTGAAAGTATTTTCAGTCATTTTATTCCCAAAGCAATATTTGCTTATTTAATTGAAGGAAATTTATATAGACTAAAAAATAAAATAAAATAAAATGCTCTCCTGTATTACCCAGCTTCATTGCCCAGATATAATCCATCTTAACAGCTCTTTCCAGACCCAGTTCTGTGAAATAGGACTATAAGTATAGTCTCCTTAATCATTTTACATATTTTTTTTAACAAAGAGGGTATCAGACACTATATATTGTATAACTTTATTCTTTCACTCGGTAATAACTTGTGGGTATCCTTTCATGGTATAGGACTCTACATCTAACCGACCTGGGTTTTGGTCTAATCTGGGCTTCCTATTCTCTAGATCTTGTAGTGTGAGCCAGTTGCTTAACCTCAGTGTTTCCTCATATACGACATGGAAATGCTAATACTAACACCGATCTCTTAGAGTCCTCATTAGGATTAAATGACTTTATGTTTGAAAGCAAATCAGATAGTGACTTGTATGTAGTAATTCCTATGTATAGGTAACTGTTTATTAAGTAAAACCTCATTATTTTAGATAGTTACATAATATTTCACAGACTTGATAAGGAATTTATTTAACTCTTTCTCTGTCAACAGATGCTTGCTGTGTCTTAAATTGTCACTATTACAGATAATTCCATTGTGAACATCTTTGCAATGTGTACTTGAACATTTGTGTGAAGGTTTTTTTATACTATAGATTCCTAGAAGTTGAATGGCAAATCATATTGCATATTATTTCAAAATTTTGATAGAAATCTGATTACCCTTCAAAAAAGTTGTGACAGATTGCACTCTCACTAATGTTATATGTGAGTGCTTTCTGAATATTGGAATGTTTTAGTTGATCAAAACTGATGGTTATCTTTTACTACAATACTTCTGGTAATGAAGAATTCAGTATCTTATAGGGAAGATTTTCTTATTTGTGCTCAATTTGGATTATTAGTAAAGTGTTTTCAAAACCTCTGTGGGCAATTTTCCATACACTATGACTATTCAGCATAGAATTTTAAGTTAATTTAGCTCCACACATACTATAGGGTGATTACTCTATGACATGCCAGATTTTGGAGGGTGGACTGTTAAAAGTAATTAAGACATGGTCTAGGTTCTCAAAAACACCCTCTGTGCCAGTGTTTTCTTATACATAAAATGAGAATACTAATAATAACATTTGTCTCTTAGAATCCCAACTTTAGGGGAACAAGATATTTAAAAAATATTTTTAAATGCTTTTATCTGTCCTAGCATAGAAATATGCACAAAATATAGAAGCATAAAGAAGGGAGGCATGAATTTTGCATTTAGGAATAATAGGAATGTTTCACAAAAGTATGACTTTTTTGGAGTTGTGTAAAATAAATGAGAGTTGTTAGGTCTACCAGAAGAGAAATAGTATTCAAGACAAAGAGAACCAAATGAGTAACAGCATGATAAAACACAGGGTCTAAATGTCCTTGAATTAAATTGATTTTCTCTTAGATGAGTAAGTTAATCATTTGCCATTTCTACATCATTGATTGTGTATTGCTCCTGCAGGTTAAAAATGCCATGTCAGCAGGAGCCATAGGAATCATTCTGTACTCAGATCCAGCTGACTACTCTGCCCCTGACGTGCAGCCGTATCCCAAAGGATGGAACCTTCCTGGACATGCAGCTCAGAGAGGGAATGTGTTAAACTTGAATGGTGCTGGTGATCCACTCACTCCAGGCTATCCAGCAAAAGGTAATAGATGAGCCTGTCGTGGTCTACCCATTTATTGCAAAAATAGTACTTGCCTGTATAAAAGGTATAAAAGCAAGCATCTACAGAACAACATTAAAACTGCGTGCAATGATATTTTGGGTTGCTGTTGCTAGGAATTCAAAGACATTTCCCTTGTATTAGTTTTAGTTTTTCATGAGGTGTGACACGAAGAAGGGAAAGTCAGTTCAATCATCTCCATTTTCTCTCTACCTTTAGTAGAGCAGAGTTTCAGAAACAAGATCCTCATATCCAAAATAGCACTGCCCTTACCAAACTAGAACATAAGGTTTCTCTTTTTTTAAGTGTACTATTGATTATGCTATTACAGTTGTCCCAGTTTTTTTCCCTTTTCTCCCATCCACTCGGTTCCCCACTTCCCTCCGGTGATCCCCTGCTTAGTTCGTGTCTATGGGCTGTGCATGCAAGTTCTTTGGCTTCTCTATTGCCTATACTGTTCTTAATATCCCCCTCTCTATTCTGTACTTACCCAATTATGCTTCTAAATCCCTATATCCTTTCCACCATTCTTCCCCTTCCCCTCCCAGCTGATAACCCTTCACATAATCTCCATATCTATGATTCTATTCCTGTTCTAGTTTTCCTATGTTTTTATTTTTGTTTTTTTAGGTTCAGTTGTTGATAGTTGTGTTTGCTATCATTTTAGGGTTCATTGTTCTTCTTTTTCCTAAATAAGTCCCTTTAACATTTCATATAATAAGATCTTGGTGGTAATGAACTCCATTAGCTTTATCTTGTCTGGGAAGCACTTTATCTGTCCTTCAATTCTAAACAATAAGTTTCCTGGAAAGATTAATCTTGGTTGTAGATCCTTGTTTTTCATCAGTTTGAATATTTCTTGCCAGTCCCTTCTTGCCTGCAAAGCTTCTTTTGAGAAATCAGCTGATAGTTTTATAGGAACCTTTGAAGGTAACTCTCTGCCTTTCTCTTCTTTTAAGATTCTCTCTTTATCTGTAATCTTTGACATTGTAATTATGTGTCTTAATGTGGCCCTCTCTGGATCCAACTTGTTTGGGATTCTCTGTGCTTCCTGGACTTGTATGTCTATTCTCTTTGCCAAACTAGGGAAGTTTTCTTTCATTATTTTTTTCAAATAAGTTTTCAATTTCTTGCTCCTCTTCTTCTCCTACTGTTATCCCTATGATTCAGATGTTGGCTCTTTTGGACTTGTCCCAGAGTCTTCTTAAACTCCTCGGTTTTGGGGTTTTTTTTTTTTTTTTTTTTGAATTCTTGTTTCTTCATTTTGTTTTGGTTGAATGTTTATTTCTTCCTTATGTTTCAAATTATTGACTTGAATACCAGCTTCCTTCCCTTCACTGTTGGTTTCCTGTGAATTTTTCTTTATTTCTCTTGGTAGATAGAGCCTTTATTTCTTCCCTTACATTTTTGCTGTACTCAGTGAGATCTCTGAGCATGCTGACCACCAGCGTTTTGAACTTTGCATCTGATAGCTTGTCTATCTCCACATCGCTTATATCTTTTTCTGGGAATCTGTTCTTTCCCATCATTTGGGCCGTATTTCTTTGTCTCATGATTTTGGAAGCCTCTCTGTGTCTGTGTACTAGGTAGAGCCACTTTGATTCTGTTTTAGTGCTCCTGTTAAGTCACATGAAATGGAGCCTTGGGTATTCACCCAGGGCGGTGGGGGGAGGGGGGCAACCATGACTTTTTGTGTGGGAGGGGTTGAAGAGGGGACACTGCCACTGCTGGCTAACTTGTAGGGGCTTGCCTGGCCCTCACCCCATTTCCAGTCACTTCATCCACTTCCCCTATGCAATTGGCTCCCCTCCAGCTGCTGCCCTGGTTGTGGTTCCCAGGGTGCATATGTTTGTGTATGTTCCAGGCTCTCCTGAGAAACTGGCAGTTTATTCTGCCACCCTAACCCCAACTGGATTTATAGCCAGAAGTTATGAGGCTTTCTTTTCTCTGCACTGGAGCCCTGGGCTACTAGGTCTGGCCTGCGACTGGTCTTGCTGGCTCACAAAGTGTCTCCCTGATTTTTATACACCACACATGAATGTGGAGCTGCCCGCTCTGCTGGCTGCCACCACCTTGCCACCTTGCTACCCCTCCGTCTCTCTACCCTGGTTCACTGCTGCCATACTGAGTCCTCTCTTCCCCAACTCCCCATCTGGATGAATAGAACTCCTTTAAATCCTTTGTTGTCAATTTCCATATAGTTCTGGGCTTTTTTTCTGGGTGATTTTCTGACCACTCTGGGTGTTTTTTGTTTTTAAGTTGGTTGTGTTCCTTCTTATGGTTGTGCAATGAGGCGAGGCATGCCTATCTATGGCTCCATCTTGACTGGAAGCTAGAACGTAAGGTTTGTGAATTGCCTAGTGATTTTATCCTTCTCTAGAGCATACATTTTTTTTTACAGGATACATTTATAATTTTATTACAAAACCATTCTTTTGGCATTAGTTGGTTACAGTAATGGAAAGATACTGTGAGTATGGTATAGCAGCTCTAATGTAACAAATTCATTCCTTGCTTCCTGAACTGAAATTTAAGTTACTTCATATCCATTACATACCAGCTATCTGCAATCATTATTGCTGCAATTCCTGATGCGTACACCATTTAGGGAGAAGTTAAGAGATGAGAGTAAACGTTGATAAGACTACAAAAATTCCTTTATGGAACTTTGTTTCTTTTCCCTCCCCTACAAAATTACTTTGCTTGAAAAGAATCAAATTACTTAGAGCTAGTATGCATAGCAGCAGCACTCAAGGAACATTGTACTTAGTTCTCGTTAAAAAGTAATACCTGTGCAATGCAAGTTTTACACCACAGGCAAAAAGGAATGATCACTCTAGTTTTAAACTCCTGCATTAGAGTTTCTTAGGAAGATAAAAGCATTCTATCAAGTTCTTCTAGATGGTGTTATTGCTGTACATTTGTTGGTGGGTCCCTTTATGTGCTGTGTTTAGAACATACATTTTTATTTTTAAAAATACCAGTGAGTTCATTTGTGTGTTTTTTAATATCTAAAGGGTGAAACGTTTTGACCTCTGTTTAACCATCTTCACAGTCAAGATAACGGACTTACCTGTAACCCAAAAATTTCCTTTCACCTCTTTGTTATGGCTCCCTCTCAGTCCTTCCTGTTCCCTCCCTGCTAATCCTTAGACAAACACTATGATCTGCTTCCTGTCAGCACAGTTATTTTGAGGTCCATCCATATTGATATGTGCCAATAATTCATTCCATTTTTGCTGGGCAGTATCCCATCAAATAGATGTACTAGTTTGTTTATTCATTTACTTGATGAAAATGTGGATTGTTTTCAGTTCGGGGCTATTATGCATAAAGCTGCTCTGAAGAGCTGTATACAAGTCTCTCTGTATACATGTTTTCATTTCTCTTTAGTAAATACATAGAAATGGAATGGCTGGGTAATATGATAGAGGTATGTTTAACTTTTTAAGAAATTTTTTAATTGTTTTCCAAAGTGATTGTACCATTTTACATTCCAGCAGCAGTGTATGAGTGTTCGAACTGTACATCCTTACCAACACTTAGTATGATAAATCTTTTTGACATTATATTCTAATAGAAATTTGAGTTCTCCAAGTTGCAATTCTTTTTCAAAGTTTTGTGACTATTCTAGGTCAATTCCATTTGAATTTTAGAACCAGTTTACCAATTTCCACAACTTCCTGGGAGGTTGAAAGAGATTGAATTAAATCTGTCAGTCTTTCTGGGGAGAAGTGATATCTAAAAAATTAAATTGAATCTTCAAATACCTGAACATGGTATAGTTCTCCATTTACCTAAGTATGCTTTAATTTCTCTCAGCAAGTTTAAAGTTTCACTGCACAGATTATGGATGTCTATTTTCACATTTATCCATAATCATTTCATATTTTTATGCTATCTTAAATTACATTGTGTTTTTATTCTATTTCTTAATCTTTATTGTATGTTTTTTCCATTACCATTTAGTCCTCATATACCTTCCTCCCCCCAGCAACCCAGCAATCACCACACTGATGTCCACATCCATGAGACTTTTTTCCTTTTTGCTCAATCTCTCCACCCCCTTAAATTACATTTTAAATTTCAGTTTCCAACTGTACTGCTAATAAATAGAAATACTATTGTATTTCTAGAAGAAATATGTTGATATTGTATCCCATACACTTGTTAAACTCACTAATTAGTCCTACTAGGTTTTTGTTAGATTTTATCAGAGTTTGTACATAGATAATCATGTCAGCTGCAAATAAAAATATTGTTCTTCCCAATCTGGATGCCTTTTATTTCCTTTTATTGCCTTACTGCACTGGCTAGTACTTCCAGTAATTTGTTAAAAAGAATTGTCAGAGTAGATATCCTATGCTGCCCCAAGGAGAACTCTTTCTCTGTTAAGTATGATATTATCTGTATGTTGTTTTATAGATTCTTTTAGTCAGATTAAGGAAGTTCATGTCTATGGTAATGTGACAAGTTTTTATCTTAACATGTATCTAGAAATTTATATTGGGTTTTGTCAAATACTTTTGTTGCATCTATTGAGATGATCTTGTTATTTACTTTTGTGAAGTTATACTGATAGACTTTTGAATGTTAAACCAACCTTTTCATCCTGGGGTAAACTCCACTTGGGCAGAATGCATTATCCTTTCATATATTTTTAGTATATTGCTGAATTTGTGCTAAAATTTGTTAAAATATTAGTCTTCAAGGATATCAGCTTATAGATTTATTTTCTTATAATATCTGTCTCATTTTGGTATCTATAATGTTGGCCTCATAGAATGAGTTGGTGAATACCTCATCTTCATTTTTTTATGCAAGAGGTTTTTTTTTCCCTTACAATTTTATTTATTTATTTCTAGACAGATGGGATGGGAGGGAGAAAAAGGAGGAGAAGAAACATCAGTGTGTGAGAGATGCATTGATCAGTTGCCTCTCACATGTCCCCAACTTGGGGTCTGGCCTGCAACCCAGGCATGTGCCCCAATAGGGAATGGAACCAGTGACCCTTTGATTCACAGTCTGGTGCTTAATCCACTGAGCCACACCAGCCAGGGCTATGCAAGAGTTTTTAAGAATGGATTTGATTTTGTCTATGAATGTTGGGTAGAATTCCCTACCAGATCCATCCAGGCATTAAATTTTGTTTGTGGGGATGCTTTTAACTACAAATTCAATTTTACTAATAGATATATGGCTGTTTAGGTTATCTCTTTATTCTTGAGTGAGCTTTCAGAGTTTGTGTCTTTCAAGGACTTTTCCCATTTTATCTAAGTTACTGAATTTATGAGCATAGAATTGTTCATAATATTATCTTGTTATTTTTTTCTTTGCAAGTACTAGAGTGATGTTTTCTTTATTCCTGATATAAGTGATTTATGTTCTTTTTCTTTTTTTCCTGCTTTGTGTTGCTAGAGATTTATCAGTTTTATTGTTCTTCTAAGGGACCATCTTTGAGTTTTATTGATACTTTCTATCCTTTTTCTGTTTCCTATTTCTTAGATTTGTGTCCTGGTCTTTGCTATGTCCTCTCTCTTACTTTTCCCCATTTATCTTCATTTTCTAGCTTCTTAAGATAAAATCTGATGCTTGCCATTTGTTTGACACCTTCTGTTTTTCTAAAATAGGTGTTTCAGTGCTATACATTTCTATTTTGGTTGAAAGTCAAAGTCCTAAGGAGACTTTTAAGCCTCGCAATATTTTTCTACCTTTTTCTAATGAGAATATTGTGTTTGGATAAAATCTTTATTACTTTTTGCTAAGATCTCTTGAATTCCCTTTAATTTTTTTACAGTTATTTCTAAATACAGTTATTTTGAAATATGAGATGCATTTTCTAGACATCTGGTTAACCGAGGCTTCAAGATATCCTTGAGAAAATAAAATATTATTTTTAAGAACAATTTTTAAAATTTATTGGTTTGAGAGATAGAGAAAAAGAGAAAGAAACATCAATGTATTGTTTTACTTATTTATGCATTCATTTGTTAATTCTTGTATGTGCCCTGACCAGGGATCAAACCTGCAACCTTGGTGTGTTGGGATGACACTCTAACCAACTGAGTAACCCAGCCAGGGCAAAATAAAATAGTCTAGTAAAATTCAAGAGAATTATTTGGAATGTCAAAACAAGTTTGAGGAATTACAATACCTATAATTCATTTTAAATTAGAATGTAAGTGGTTCTATTTCTTCGTGTTGTATTAAATAGACCATAGTAGGTAAAACAGTCATTGATTTGGGGGGAACTTTTACCTTTGAATATTATGTAAAATGTATTACAAATCTACAATAATCATAAAAAATTTTTTTAAACCCCTGGCTTCAATTCTTAATTGTTTTCTCTTTATGCAATTGATTTTTGCAGAATACACCTTTAGACTTGATGTTAAAGAAGGAGTGGGAATGCCCCAAATCCCTGTACATCCCATCGGATATAATGATGCAGAAGTATTATTACGGTATAGTGTTCTTGTTAGATATCACATTAAGGTATTTTGCACTAATGTGTTTATTGTTTTTTTTTTTCTAAAACCAGTGTAACCTAATCATGTTAAAAGTCTTGGGTCAAAATAGCTCCTGAAGTAGGAATAACAGATCACTCCTTTTTTCCTCCATAAATGCAGTCAGTTTAGTGCCTAAGAAAACATTACTCTTTCTGCTAAAAATTAAAGTCTCAAAAGTGAAACTATGTCCAAAGTTAAAAATACTGATGTAAGACCTTTCAAGTAGTTGAGTTTTCTTAGATATTCATTTGATATCTGTACTTGACCTGCATTTTATTTTATTCTATTTTTTTATTATTTTATTATTTTATTTTAGTACTTGACCTGCATTTTAAAAATATGATAATGCCCACCACTTATTAGATGTGTGAACTTGGATTGTTTACCCTATCACTGATTCTCTTCCTTTATCTGTAAAATGAGGACAGAAACAGTTTGTCCCCAATAGGATTATTATAAGAAGTAGACAAGATCATGCATGTAAAGTATGTAAATATGATAAACATTCAATTAATGTTTGCTATTATATGCATTCTGTAATTGAAGTTCCCTTTCAAATATGTTACATATTTTTAAAAATCTCTGTATCAGTACAGTTTAATAATTGCTTTATGAATGCCTACTATGTATTAAGCAATTTCTCTAGAAGTTAATTTCTCCTTAGTACAGTCATGTATTTCATATTTGCAGGATTTTTGGGACCTAATGTGTCCCTACATAAACAGATAAAGTCAAAAGTAAGGAGGCTGAAGCTTTTCTTTTCCCCTCACTATTTTTTTTTCTCCTTAGCTCTTATCACTAACATATTAAATAGTTCTTTATGTATCTCAGTATGGCTCCCCCATTCGAACGGAAGCTCCTCAAGAGAAGGGAATTTTGACTGTACCTGGCACTTAGTAAAAGCTCAATAAGTATTTGTTAAATGTATGAATGAAATATCTCACCACCACTCTTTATGAATGTTTCTAAGAAATTGTGATGCTCAACCTTTTCTTTTTTTTTTTTTTTTTTGTCATTTTCATTTTCTCTTGACAGCCATATGGGAGGAACAGCTTCACCAGATGACAGCTGGAAGGGAAGTCTCGCTGTGGATTACAATATCGGGCCTGGCTTCACAGGGCATGGTTCTTTCAGGTAACTTCCTATTAATTTAAGAGCCTGAAAAGTTTTATATGTTTAATGGAGAAATGTCAGGATAATTGTTCTGCCAGGTAGATTTTGCTTATCTTCATTTTCCCATTTTTAATAATGAATAATTGATCATTTTTATCTTTTAAGTACTTACAGAATAATGTATTGCATTTCTTCCTGTAGTGAGATGACCTTTATTTCATAAAGTCTCAAAAATTGAGATTTGTGAGTTATGGATTGAATATTTTAACACTTTCCACTTAAAGTTTTAAAACAGTTTTCATATCACTTTCAAAATGTTATGCATGTGAAACACTAGGCTAACTTCAGGGAAAGGAGTAAAAGAGAGAAAGGAGGCAACATTTATTAAACATTTGACTGTGTGGGTAGGTTAAGCGAGTCAAATGAGTAAGCACGTAGTTATTGTAGGGCTCAATACACATATTTTAATTGTTATTAACACATTATACCTCTGTTGTAGAGGGGGAGTTACAACAGACCTACATGTTTAATAAGCTTAATTTTACAGAAAGGGTAAATTTTCCACTGGATGGAGGCAGGTAGGAATTGCCAGCTAGAAAGATCAGCTTGCAGGGAGTTGCAAAACAATGTATCATGACTCACCTGAAACGATAGAGAGGAAGTGCAATATAAAACTGATAAATCAAAGAAGATAAAGCTCTTTTAACCAAAAAAATTTTATATTTTATAAGTGCTGGAAGCAACATAAATGCCCATAAATAAATAGGTGGATCAAAAAACTGTAGTACATTTACACAGTGGAATACTACACAGCAGAAAGAGCGAGCTACTACCCTTCACAACACCATGGATGGAACTGGAGAGCATTATGCTGAGTGAAATAAGCCAGGTGGTAAAAGAGAAATAACATATGATCTCACCTATAAGTGGAATCTATTCAACAAAACAAACAAACAACAAAAATATAGCCAGCGACATTGGAAGAAAAAACAAACCGACAGTAACCAGAGGGGAGGTGGAAGTGGGGTAACGGGAAAAAAAAGGGGAAGGGTCAAGTCAAGGAACATGTAAAAAGGACCCATGGACAAAGCCAAAGTGGGGAAGGATTGAGGGTGGGAGGTGGGGGTGGGTGGGGCAGGGGAAAGTGGTGGCGGGAAAATGGAGACAAATGTATTTGAACAATAAAAAAAATAAAGCACATCTCAATAAAAAAAATAAGTAAAATTTTTAAGTATATTTTATTGATTATGCTATTAGAGTTGTCCCATTTTTTTCTCACCTCTCTCCACCTCCACCCTGCACAGCCCCCACTCTCCAGCATTCCCCCCTTAATTCATGTCCACGGGTCGGGTCGTACTTGTAAGTTCTTTGGCTTCTCCATTTCCTATACTATTCTTAACCTCTTCCTGTCTGTTTTATGCCTGCCAATTATGCTTCTTATTCCCTGTACCCTTTTCCCTCACTCTCCCCCATAAAATATTAACAGTTTAAAAAATTTTTACTTTAAACTGCATGCTTAAGTACTTAGAAGTAAAATGTCATGATATCTTCAACTTACTTGCAGATGGTTCAACAATATTAACAATTATTTAATTTAAGTGGTAGATATATAAGAATTCATTAAACTATGTTAGAGTTTTATGTGCTCTTGAGATTTTTCATAATTAAATGTTGAAAGAAAGCTGTTAGACATAATGCTGTATATGAAGTAATTTATTCACCTTGAAATTCTAGGAAAGTTAAAATGCACATTCATAACACCAATAAAATTACAAGGATTTACAATGTAATTGGAACTCTCCCAGGATCTGTGGAACCTGGTGAGTCAGAGAATTTTTAGAACACTTTTGTTTTTACTAACATTAAAAGAATAAGATAATTTTACTCAACGGTTGATTTATATATATTTTGTTGATTATGCTATTATAGTTGTCCCATTTTTTTTCTGCCCTTTATTCCCTTCCGTCCTGCACCTCCCCTCCCCACCAGCATGACCCCCCACACCTTAGTTCATGTCCATGGGTTGTGCATATAAGTTCTTTGGCTTCTCCATTTCCTATATTATTCATAACCTCCCCCTGACTATTTTATACCCACTATTTATGCTGCTTATTCCATGTACCTTTTCCTCCATTCTTCCCCTTACCCCTCTCTTCTGATCTCCATTTCTATGATTGTATTCCTGTTCTAGTTGTTTGCTTAGTTTGTTTTTGTTTTTGTTTTTTTTAGGTTCAGTTGTTGATGGTTGTGAGTTTGTTGTCATTTTACTGTTCACAGGTTTTGATCTTTTTCTTAGATAAGTCCATTTAGCATTTCATATAAGAAGGGCTTGGTAATGATGAACTCTTTTAACTTTACCTTATCTGAGAAGCACTTTATCTGCCCTTCCATTCTAAATGATAACTTTGCTGGATAGAGTAATCTTGGGTGTAGTCCTTGTTTTTCATGATTTTGAGTACTTCTTGCCAGCCCCTTCTTGCCTGCAAAGTTTCTTTTGAGAAATCAGCTGATGGTCTTATGGGAACTCCTTTGTAAGTGACTATCTCCTTTTTTGTCACTGCTTTTAAGATTATCTCCTTATCTTTAATCTTGAGTAATATAATTATGATGTACCTTGGTGTGTGCTTCCTTGGGTCCAACTTCTTTGGGTCTCTCTGAGCCTCCTTGATCTCCTGGAAGCCTATTTCCTTGGCCAGATTGGGGAAGTTCTCCTTCATTATTTTTTCAAATACATTTTCAATTTCTTGCTCTCCCTCTTCTCCTTCTGGCATGCCTATTATTTGAATATTGGAATGTTTAAAGTTGTCCCAGAGGTTCTTAAGCCTCTCCTCATTTTTTTGAATTCATGTTTCTTCATTCTGTTCTGGTTGAATGTTTACCTCTTTCTTCTGCTCCCAATCATTTATTTGAGTCCCAGTTTCCTTCCCTTCACTGTTGGTTCCCTGTATATATATTTTTTATTTCACTTTGCATAGCCTTCACCTTTTCCTCCATTTTACAACCATACTCAACCAATTCAGTGAGCATTCAGATCACCAGTGTTTTGAACTATGCATCTGATAGGTTGGCTATCTGTTCATCACTTCATTCTATTTTTGGAGCTCTGATCTGTCCTTTCATTTGGGCCATATTTCTTTGTCTCAACATGCCTGTTATGTTGCAAGGGACAGAGCTTTAGGTATTCGCTAGGGCAGGGCATTGCAGGTCGCTGTGTTGTGACTCTGTATGTGGGGGAGGGGTCTGAGAGGGAACAACGCCTCTTGCTCCGCTCTCCATCAGCTTTCAGTCACTTCCCCTGACACCCACAAGCAAATTAGTCTCTTCTAGTGTTAATTCCTGGGTGGGTGGGTTTGTGTACATTCTAGGACCCCATGGGTCTCTCCAGCAGACTCTCCTGTGAGGCTGGGTTTCTCTTGCTGCCACAACCCCCACAGGTTTTTACCTCCAGAGGTTTGAGGCTTTCTTTTCCTGCCCTGGAACCCTGGATGGTGAGGTCTGTCTCGCTTCGCAGCTGTTCCTCACGGTTTATCCACACAAATGTGGGACCGCCTGTCTGCCAGCCACCACCGTGCCACTCTTCCTGTCCACCACAGCTGCCCCTCTCTACCCTTCCTACTGGTCTGGATGAGTGTTTCTTCTTTAGCTCCTTGGTTGTCGGACTTCCATACGGTTTGATTTTTGGCAGTTCTGGTTACTTTTTGTTTTTAAATTTGTTGTTGTCCTTCTTTTGGTTGTGTGAGGAGGAAAAGCATACCTACCTATGCCTCCATCTTAGCCAGAAGTCCCTCAACAGTTGATTTCTTTATAGCGACATGACACAACTAAATTTGAAAAAAAAGTGTACTACTCTAAAAGAACACTCTATAGTGTTGATTTTTTTTTTCTAATGGAGGAAACTCAAGCAAGAGGAAGGTTAATTTTAAAAACGTGTTACAATATTTCTAATGCATTCACAGTTGTAGTTGTTTTGAACACCTTCTTTTCCAGACAGGTATGTTATTCTTGGAGGCCATCGGGATTCTTGGGTGTTTGGAGGTATTGACCCAACCACTGGGACTGCTGTTTTACAAGAAATTGTTCAGAGTTTTGGAAAACTGATGAGTAGAGGTAAATAATGTTTCTTTGGTGGGTGATGACAAGAAGTGGCTCACTAATTTTACTTTATTTTTAGGCAGGTGTACCTAACTATGTATGTTAACAATGATTACAGGCTGGAGACCTAGAAGAACTATCATTTTTGCCAGCTGGGATGCAGAAGAATTTGGACTTTTGGGTTCCACAGAATGGGCTGAGGTAAATAAGACAAAGAAAATTATTTTCTCGGTCAACAGGGAACAAATATATATATCTCAGGATGTTCACAAATAGATCCCATTACCTAATATAATTTTAATAAAGACTCGAGAATTTAAGAACTTGAGTTTGTTTTTGCTTTCACATTAGTTTAGCAAAGCAAAATAACCTCTTACAATCTATAAGTTCAGAAAATAGTTAAGACTATTTCTGACAAGTGAATTGACTTATCTGAAAACTCATACAGATCCCTGGATTTCCTTTTTAAGTTTTTAAAGTTTCCTTATAATTCTTCTATCTAAGAAAACATAAGATGTTCTATTAAAATGACTGCGATTATAATTTCACATTTATGAATTTCATATAAAATTGCAACCATATGTATACAGGGTCTGGCACAAATAATGCCCCCTTTTATTACATAAAAATCTTTTATTACAAAATCATAAGCATGTAATTCTGTAACATAACAATATCACACTCGAGGACACCATATGACATTTTAGGTGAAATGTTCAAATTGCTGTCCATCTAGTATGAGATATTCATGTACCCTACCAACCACACTCAGTGGTGTTACTTCTGCTGGAACCTGTATTTTACTATTCACAAAAGTGCCTGATTATTGAGTATATGATGATCTTATAAATAGAATTACTTTAGTTAATTGCCTTTAGAATTTCTGAGATTTGTTTTTTCTTCAGATATGATCATCTTTCATTTGTGAGTGGCTCTTAATGCTTTATCCTTAAGTGTCTCTCCTAGGCCACCTTCTTTCATCTTTTTCCCTTAGCCTCTCTGTTGAGTAACCCTTAAGTTCTTAAATGTGCAATGTAAGCTCACAGTTCTTATAAAAGGAGGTGCACTGTATAAGCACTTATGCTCCTGCCACCATCCTCTGTAAGTCCAGACTCTTTTCATAAGTCCCGATTTTATAAAGGTGTTTTGAACATGTCATACGTTTCTTGACATTGGCTGTCGTTCTTAAAATGCTTTCCTTCTGACTCATTTTCTCTTACTTTACTTTAAAATAATATGAATCAAATCAGAATAGAAGTAGGTAAAATCACACACAGAGTTACCTGTCAATCACTTATCTTTTTAAAAAAAAAATTTTTAGAGAGGGGACGGGTGGGAGAAAGGGAGGAAGAGAAACACCAATATGAGAAAGAAACATTGACTGGTTGCCTTCTGTACATGCCCTCACCAGGGACCAAACCAGCAACCCAGGCATGTACCCTGATGGGGAATTGAACCCTCAACCTTTTTGTTTGCTGGATAATAGCCAATCAACTAAGTCACTCTAGCCAGGGCAATCACTTATCCTTTTGATTCCATTTATATTGCCAAGTTTTATTATTACATTGGTATTATGAGTATGCATTTTGGAAATTGTTTAGATGAATCAAATTTTATTAAGTATATTTTATTCATTAAGTTCATTTACTTTTAGAAATAATGTAATTGCATGTGAATATATGTATATATAAGTACATGTTTCTGTTTCTATAGTTTTAGCCACTTGAAATAAAGATCAAAGAAACCTAAGATACAAAATAATATGCTTTGCATGAAATACATGTGGGTTAAAAGGCAGTTTCAACACTTCTGGTTTTCTACCAGATTTTTCATCATATGTAACAGTGTACTCCTTTAAATAATTAAGGAATCTTCCTTATTTCTAATGTCATTCTTTTACAATGGAAACCCTGACTTAACATTTCTGTATAGCAGAGGCAATTATCACCTGGCCTGTGTGGCAAGTGCAGAGAAGTGGCAGTCCTTGTTTGTAGCATAACCTCTCACAGCTTTAAATGTTTTTTATTATAACATGTTCTTAATAAGGTAGTAAGCTAGAAAGAGTTAAAGGGCATTCTCGGCATATTTCCATCTGTGTGTGACATTAGCCCTTCTCTATCTTGTGTGTGTGTGTGTGCGCATGCGCGTACAGGTGCGCACACATGAAGGAGTCAGTCAGTCTTGTGTTTGTCCTAACATCCTTCCTTCTTACCCTCTAGTTTTGCTGTCCTCTGCTCACTTTTTGTTTTTTCATTATATTTTCTCATTAAAAAATGAAATTTCTATTTTTCACTTTTATTTGTGTTTTAATTTTCTTTTTCTTTGTTCTTTATTTTTCACTTTTAAAATGCTGCATTTATTTGGGTATCCAATAGCAGTGGATCTCAAAACTTCAGTGCATGCAGGGAATGCCAGGCACACCTTTTAGAAAATACAGATTTCCAGGCCTTTCAGCAATTCTTTCTTTTATTTCTTACTACATTATACTTTTTTAAGCATATTTTATGAGACTGACGTGCTACCTATGCACTGAGGCACCTTATTTTTAAGTATATTTTATTGATTTTACTATTACAGTTGTCCCATTCTTTTTCTCCTCTTTATCACCCTCCACCTGTACCCTCTTTCCCTCTAGCATTCCCTCCACTTAATTCATGTATTCATGTCCATGGGTCGTACATATAAGTTCTTCGGCTTCTCCATTTCCTATACTATTCTTAACCTCCCCCTGTCTATTTTGTGCCTGCCAGTTATGCTTCTTGTTCCCTTTACCTTTTCTCCCATTCTCTCCCTTCCACTCTCTGTTGATAACTCTCCCTATGATCTCCATTTCTGTGATTCTGTTCCTGTTCTAGTTGTTTGCTTAGTTTATATTTGTTTTTGTTGGGGGTTTTTCTTTAGGTTCAATTGTTGATAGTTGTTTTTTGTCATTTCACTGTTCATAGTTTTGATCTTCTTTTCTTATAAAAGTCCTTATAACTTTTCATATAATATGGGCTTGATGATGATGAACTCCTTTACCTTTACCTTGTTGGGTAAGCACTTTATTTGCCCTTCCATTCTAAATAATAGCTTTACTGGATAGAGTAATCTTAGATGTAGGTCCTCGCTTTTTATGACTTTGAATATTTCTTTCAAGCTCCTTCTTGTATGTAAAGTTTCTTTTGAGAAATCAACTGATAGTTTTATGGGAACTCCTTTGTAGATAACACTGTCCTTTTCTTTTGCTGCTTTTAAGATTCTTTCCTTATCTTTTACCTTTGGCATTTTAATTATGATGTGTCTTGATGTGTTCCTCTTTGGGTCCAACATCTTTGGGACTCTGAGTTTCCTGGACTTATATGTCTATTTCCTTCACCAAATTGGGGAAATTCTCCATTATTTTTTCAAATAAGTTCTTGATTTCTTGCTCTTCCTCATCTCCTTCAGAAAGCCCTATGATTTGGATGTTGGAACATTTAAAGTTGTCCTAGAGGTTCCTAAGATGTCCTCTCCTCATCTTTTTGAATCCTGGTTTCTTCATTCTGTTCCAGTTGAATGTTTATTTCTTCCTTTCATTCCAAGTCATTGATTTGAGTCCTGATGTCCTTCCCTTCACTGTTGGTCCCCTGTATATATTTTTTATTTCACTTTGTATAGCCCTCACTTCTTCCTCTATTTTGTGTCCATACTCAATCATTTCTGTGAGAACCCTGATTACTAGTGTTTTAAACTCTTCATCTGATAGGCTGGCTATCTCTTCACTGGTTAGTTCTTTTCCTGGAGTTTTGATCTGTTCTTTCATTTGCGCCATTTTTCTTTTTCTTGGTGCCCCTGTTATGTTGTATGGGGCAGAGCCTTAGGTATTCACCAGGGCGGGGCTACCCACGTAGCTACATTGTGTCACTGTATGTGGAGAAGGGGTCAGAGAGGGAACAATGCCATTTGCTTGCCTCTTACCCCACTTTCCATCACTTCCCTCACTTCCCACAAGCGGATTGTGCCCTTCTGGTGCTGATTCGTGGGTGGTGGGATTGTGTACATTCCAGGACTCTGTGGGCCGCTCCCCTGGACTCTACTCTGAAAATGACAGGTTCTCCCACCACTGCAATCCTCACAAGCTTTTACTGCCAGAGGTTTTGAGGCTTTCTTTCCCTGTGCTGGAACCCAGGGTTGCATGGTCTAGCTCATCCCCAAGTTGTTTCTCCAGGCTTATCTGCACTCAAATGCGGGACTGCCCATCCGCCAGCTGCTGCCTTGCCTCCTGTCCTCTCTGCCCCGGCTGCCCGTCTCCGCCCCACCTACCAGTCTGGATGAATGTTTCTTCTTTAACTCCTTGGTTGCTGGACTTCCATACAGTTTGATTTCCTGGCAACTCTAGTTATTTTTTGTTTTTTAAACTGGTTGTTATCCTTCTTTTTAGTTGTGTGAATAAGCGAAGTCTACCTACCTACGCCTCCATCTTCGCCAGAAACCTCACCTCTCAGCAATTCTTACTCAGTAGATCTGGGGTGGGGCTCAGAATCTAGGAGCCTTCCCCTTCATATTCTGGTTCAGGGAATCAAGGAACCACACTTTGAAAATACTTTTTCTCTGAGGCTCCCTACTGTTGCTATAAACAATAGTACAGCATCATAATATTTTTTTCTTTCTTGTTTAAATTCCATTAATGCGGTTGTCAAACAATCAGTTATCAGAATTTTTCAGAAACTACAGTTAAAGGCATAGGTATTTGACTCATAAAATATCAGCAGACCACTTTTATGCTAAATTAATTGGCTTATTTTATTTATATTCCCACAACTGTAAATACTGGGAATTAAGTAACAACTTTGCTTCAAATTTAGGAGAACGCAAAAACACTCCAGGAGAGAAGCATTGCTTATATCAACTCAGATTCATCAATAGAAGGTAAATTTGATTGATAACTGAGCTATTGATCCTATTTTTTACAGAATATTTATCATTTGCCATATTGGATTCTTATTTATAACTCCAATATTAACTGCATTCTTCTTATAGAGAGAATAAAAGAATTTGTTTAAAATACTTCTGAAGAAATATTTTACAGAATGTTTCATACAGAAATACTTTCTGTATTGGAATGAATTTTAAGTGACATAAACTCTAGACCTTTTTTTGAACCTGACATGTGGAATTTGTGTCCTAGGCCATCTGTATATTATGATGATGTCTAGATAAATGTCAGAGCATGCTTGCTAACTCCTGACATGCTTTTGTCTAATGTCTTGCTATATACTGTCTAATAAAATGAATAAGGAATGAATGCTGCAGGCTTAGCATTTTCTTTGCCTTATTCCTCCTAAGAGACACTGTATTAAGAATGACCTTTATGATCACTATGGGAGCTGCTGTGTTAGCAGCCAAAGCCCACCTATACCTTCTGTGCCGCGTGTGTACTGCAGACCTTTTCTTCCTGCAGAACTACTTCCACCCTATTTTTAATTCTTAGGGAGTGATTCCTTTGATTTAAGTCTATTATATATTATTTATAATTAGAAAATAAAGTTAGAATTAAGTATAGATTGGAATTTCTTTTGAAAGTATGAAAATACATGTTTTTATTTATTTTTCAGGCAATTATACTCTCAGAGTTGACTGTACACCCCTTCTTTACCAATTGGTGTATAAACTGACAAAAGAGGTATGTAAGTAGGCCTGTCTTAATGTTTTCTATTAAATGGATAAATAACACTCATTTTTCTTAATTAGTGGTACTTATATTTGAACTGGTGACAAGTCTGAACAAAAATCTCTAATACACTATTTATATGACATTACAATTTATATGACATTAAGATAGTATTGCTAGTTTCTCTGTTCTAATAGTAGCTCTTATTGTGTACATTGTTGTGATATAGAGGGCATAGCATTTCATCTGGCAGAAGCATTTTGATATCACACAAAGTACACTGAACTGGGATGGAAAAGCCTTGGTTCAAAGAATGCTTTGGCTACTGATTCATTCCTTCAACAAGTATTTATTGAGTGGTTACTACTTACCAGGCCTATAAAATAGACTCTAACAACAATAATGATAAAGTGACAAGGTTACTGAATCCAAATACTTTGTAATCTAGAGAGGATACAGACCCGTAAGTGAGGAATTATAGTTCACTGGAATATTGGATACTATATATAATGGATAGTAATTATGGAATACCAAACCTAAAATCCTGGGGCAGCCAGGGAAGTTGGGAAGCATCAGAGGATGCTTACAGAATAATAAATACTTGGGATGCAAAATAGAAGGATGTGAAAGTAAGGGAGAAGGCATTCTAAACAGAGGACATAGTTCCCAAGAAAAATATGGAGTTATAAAAGAAAATACTTCCTGGCCTGGAGGTAGCTCAGTATGACCTACACACAAAATGTTTGTGGAAAGATGGTAAGAAATGAGGCATGACAGATAGGCCATGGAGTTCAGAAATCTGATGATGGAGAAACTAATGAATTTTTAATAAGGTCGTACATTATGATATTTGTTCATTAGAAAAATCACTCTATCAGTGTAGTGAATAAGTTAAACTGTAACAGGTGTAAAAGCAAATGGAAATAATTTCACATGCTTATCATACAGGAATATTATAAATATTAGTTATTATACAAATAGTACTCTGAAAACTCTAATGTATGGAGTCTCTAAAAATTACATAATGTATTCATTTACTGTCTGTGTACTAGTTTAAATAGTTCCATGTTATAAAATTTAATTATAGAAATGTTTCTGACAAGTAGGTATCACTTCGATGACAGTGTGAAGTGTAGGTATCACTTGTGTAGGTGCTGTTTCCCAATCTTCCTTAATCTTGTCCTTTCCATCTTAGTGTTGGTGCCTTTAAAAACTAGTACTCCCAAGAGAGTCCTCCATGATGCCACAATTCTCATAGTACTGCGTAGCTTATGCCTTTGATTCTTTTATTGGAACATCATGCAAAAACATCTAAAAAGCAAGCTGTACAGAAAATCTGTATTGGCAGAACCCTTCTTAGGATGTGTATTAATGCTTTGAGTCCTACAGAGCCGGCTCCTGCTGGTGAGATCAGGGATAATAAAAAGTTCAGGGCCCGTAAAGGTGAAGTCTAGTTCTATGCTCCTTTGTACGAAGCCAGATGCCTATGTGTGGCCATACCAAAGCTCAGTAGAAAAAGGGCTCTTTTAATCTGCTGTAAACTGAATATTACAGTTTTGCCAACCCCTCATGTATGTTGGCACAGTCAAATTATGCTGATGATGTGAGCGTTGGATCAGGTAGGAGAGCGGGCTGGGCCAAAAGAGAAGGGCAGCTGCCTGGTAGAAGCAAGAAGTGGGCCAAGGTTTTGATACAGTGGAGGAGGGACAGCAGTTATGATGGTGCATATGGCTGAGACAGAAAGGTCAGAATTAGGGTGTCCAGGACAAAGGGGCACAGTTCTGGTTAGTGCTAGACTGAGATGGCATGATCCTAGAAAATGAGGAGAATTTTGTAGGGAATTTGATCCAAGCAGGATGTAGGAATTGGAGCAGAATCTCAACTATTGCAAATTGGCAGGAGCCAAGTCGAGAGGAGAACCCAGTCAGTGGGCTGGAAATGAGCAAAATATCCCTGCAGCTGCAACATGGTAGCAGGGAAGGGCGGCCTCTGTGGAGTGCCAACTGTACCTGAAGGCCTCTTACGTGGTGAGCAAGGGATAACCAGCTCTGTAAAGGTCAGAGAAGGTACCAGAGAAGGTACCAGAGAAGGTGATGCTTAGGTTGAGATGGGTCCCATTCTCCCCATTTCCACAGGTGAGAAAACTAGGGTTTAAAGCAATACACCAAAGGTTATATAATGCCTTCTGAGTTGCATAAGTAGGGTCTTCCTTAGGTCCATTTTTGAATTTACTAAAATAAGAAGGACATTTTATCCTAGGTATCTGGCAAAACTACCAGTAGGCAGGCATCATAAACCAACAGAAATTTGGGCTGGATATTTTTCTTCCTATTTACAAAAGCATACTTTTCCACATCGACATGTATATAGAAATTGGTATTAACTGACATGTGGTTTTATGTTGGCATAAATTTAGTGGCCTCTGCCTCTAATTCCCAATATTTGATTTATCTTTCCAGATCTCTAGCCCAGATGATGGTTTTGAGAGTAAATCTCTTTATGAGAGCTGGTTGGAAAAGGACCCTTCATCTGAAAATAAAAACCTTCCTAGGTAAATTACTTGTTTGTATATTTTCTACCACAGGTTAAATTATGAAGTCCCCTTTACCCTGTGTTGCTCCAGGCATGTAGTTCTCAGGTCTGTCATCAACGAAAGATAATCCTAAAGGATCCCTTTGTGCCATCCTTGATGTGCCGATCAGCAGAACAACCACATCTTTCAACAACCCACAATAGAGCAGATAGATCTAGTTTTACAAAATTTTAGTCAAAATTATTTTGCCGCATTAGTAGGCATTATTTTGCAGTCTTGAATAAAATTTTATTCAGATATGTACTAATGCCTTAATAAATAATATAACAAATTATTTGATGCAATAATGATGCATCAAATTATAATGATGAAGTAAAAAACAAAGGATGGATTATTTGCTTCTAAATTTATTAATGGGCACTGTCAGTAACTGCCAGATTGTGCCTTTGCCTGTCGGTCAATTTGGATTTTAAGAATTAATTTATTTTTTTTAGTTCATGTCATTTACACAACAGTAGCTTTCCTGAATTCATTTTATATTTGTTTTCTACTGCACTACTATTTCTAAAAGCAGCTGATGATGGTAGTAGTTTACAGCTTCATTCCATATTCCAGGTAAGTCTGTGAAAGTTTAAAAGCATCCAAGGTTTCAGTCTCAAAAAAAAAAAAATCCCATAGTTTAGAAGTATATAACTATGTTCTTCATGTATATGTAAATTTATGTTCTGCTTTACTGACTTATCGTTATAATACGAAAAATTTTCCATGTCATTATATTATTCTGTAGTTTATATGTATATAGTGGTTTCTTAATTATATGCAAAGAAATATATTGTAATTAGACTTATTTTTGAAATAAGGAACATTTAGCTTCTTCATAATCTTAAATATAGACTTTCTCATGGCAATTTTCTTAATTCTCTGAGAGCAGATACCATATCTTATTTGTGTTCCTCTCTACACAAATACCACAAATGCAGAAAATATGAGAGACATCATAGTCACTAGGCTGCCGTTTTTGGTGGCACTGCCAAACTAGTTGCAGTCAATATAGATTTACCTACAGGTTTATCACACCAATATCCAGCAGATGACACAAAAGTCTCTTGGAGGTGGTGTATGTTTTCCTAATTCCTTTAAATGTGCCATGAAATTCCTTGCTATTCTTAGGACGGGGTTCACTGTCCCATTTAACTTTGTATTGTTTATTTATGCCTCTGTGTGTGTATGTATGTGTTTATTTATATTCTACATCTAGAATCAACAAGTTGGGATCTGGAAGTGATTTCGAAGCTTATTTTCAGAGACTTGGGATTGCTTCTGGCAGAGCCCGCTACACCAAGAATAAGGTAAGCCATTTTATTTTGGGGGGTACATCGTACCTCATCCACACTCTTTTGTAAGAATTCTATCATTTAATTGTTCGGTACAGGCAAAGGTGGATGTTTCAGGGATAGAGACAGACTTCATGTCCCTTCATAGATGGACTAGATAGTAATTTGTGTTCTTTTGTGACTTTCTACTGCCAGGGTTATTCAATGAAGTGGTAGTTGACAGAATAATGTCGAGGACTTAGCTCTGACATAGGCTTTGTTGGGAAATCTCATTATTCTGGTCTTACAGGCTTTGGTGTACTTGTCCCAGAGAAAATATGCAGGTGGAGAACATATTTTGGCTACAGGGAATGCTAGGCTAAGATTATTTTATTGTTAAGTACTTGGATATGCCAACAATACCTTGTTTGCTTGCCTATGTTATAAATCAAACAGATTTGTTTTATATTTTAATATTGGGTTGGCCAAAATTTTGGGGTTTTTTTCCTATAAGGTGGCTCTAGTAGCAATTAGTTATCTTTAGCTGCATTTGAAACAATTTTGTTAGATTGTATTGTGACAGCTGTCATATCAGAGTGCATTTAAAAAAAAACATTAGAATTGGTGAATTTTTGTGTAGCCATTTTAATAATGAAGATGGAAGAAGATACACAACACTTTTGGCATGTTTTGCTTTATTATTTCAAGGAAGGTAAAAACAACTGAAATGCAAAAAGTGATTTGTGTAGAGTATGGAGAAGTGCTGTGACTGATCAAACGTGTCAAAAGTGGTTTGAGAAGTTTCCTGATGGGGGTTTCTAGCTGGACGATGTTCCGTGGTCAGGTAGACCAGTTGAAATTGACAGCAATCAAATTGAGACATCGAAAACAATGTTATATCATGAGGGAGATAGCCAACATACTCAAAATATCCAAATTCATAAAGTTATTGCTGAAGGTGAAAAATGTGTCTTATTTTATAGAAAAAAATACATATGGACTTTTTGTCCGATTCAGTAGTTTTCGAATCATTGCAATATAAGAACATCTTGTTTGTATAGAATACACATACATAGCCTTTGCAAATGTGACTAGCCAGAATACAACTCAGAACAAAGCAAGCAAAAATCTCTCTAGAATAACCCAAAATAAATGCATATATTTGTATACTAATACTCACACTTAATACATAAATGATGCACATTACCTCTTTCTTTTTTTAAAAATATTTTATTTATTTATTTTTAGATAGAGGGGAAGGGAGGGAGAATGGGGAGAGAAACATCAATGTGTGGTTGCCTCTTGCACACCTCTTATTGGGGACCTGGCCTGCAGCATAGGCATGTGCCCTGCCTGGGCATTGAACCAGTGACCCTTTGATTAACAGGCCAGCACTCAATCCACTGAGCCACACTAGCCAGAGCTTCACATTACCTCTTTCAATGCCTGTTCACATTTATACTCTATCACCATTCTCAACAAAGTTATCTAGTTTCTAAGACAATGCATATTAAAAACAATGATAGCCCTGGCTGGTGTGGCTCAGTGGATTGAGTGCTGGCCTGCGCACCAAAGGGTCTCTGGTTCGATTCCCAGTCAGGGCACATGCCTGAGTTGCAGGCCAGGTCCCAAGTTGGGGGCAAGTAAGAGGCAAGCCTACATTGATGTTTCTCTCCCTCTTTTATTCCCTCCCTTCCTCTCTCTCTAGAAATAAATAAAATCTTTAAAAAAAACAATAATAGAAGGAGTGAGACTGATACAAGGATTCACTTTAGTTATAATAAAAGCTGTGAGAATAGCAATGTAAAGAAAGGTAAAAAAAAATATTTATATAGGAAACCACCATGTGATAATTTATGTTTTTATAATGGCAGTACTTAATATTGTGATACAGGTTAAATGGCATTTGGTTAGGCACTGTCTGGGGAGACAGGGAAAGTGCTTAAATACAGATACTTAGCTGCCCAGAACCTTTCATTCCCAGTCATTTGATAATTTTAAGTTGTGCTTCTCTGCAATTGGAGTATGAACTCAGTTTTAATCATTAGAAACACAATAAGAATTTTCAAGAAGCAGTATTCTGAAAGATTACATGAATTATAAAATGAAAGGTAAAATTTTAAATCATTGAACATTTGGTTGTAATGTTTTAGTTAATTAGATCTTACATATTTTTCTTCACTGTGATAAAATTTATGGTACCATATGGTTGTATTTTTTCTGCAATTATTTTATGATTATATAAAATACTATAATTTGAATATGTAATGTTTGTCCTTGGTTTCTCTCCTATACCCCTACCTTTTCTTTAGAAAACAGATAAGTACAGCAGCTACCCATTATACCATACGATTTATGAGACATTTGAATTGGTAGAAAATTTTTATGACCCCACATTTAAAAAACAGCTTTCTGTGGCTCAGTTACGAGGGGCACTGGTCTATGAGCTTGCAGACTCTCAAATCATTCCTTTCAATATTCAAGACTATGCAAAAGCTTTGAAAAACTATGCAACAAGTATCTACAATTTATCGAAGAAACATGACCAACAATTGAAAGATCATGGAGTATCATTTGGTAAGAAATTACAGAGCAGGTATTTTATAGCCTTTAAGTTACAGGTTTAAGATATTTCCTCTCATCATCAGTGCATACTATTTCATCCTAGAATTTATCCCTGCCTCACTTATTAGTTCTGGCTTCTAGAAAAAAACTTGAACATCCATTAAACACTGTGATTTAATTTGGTGTTTGTAGGATGAATCCATTTTGCTAAGTTAGTGTTACAAATGTTGGGTTTTCCCTATATTTCTGCCTTTAAAATATTTTTACTCTTATAAGAATACTATGAAAATATAATATACTATTACATAAATATTGGAAAGTAGAGAAAATCACAAATTCTACTACATATATGTATTATAATTATTAATTACTGTTATTATGTATATCTTTCAAGTTTGTCTACATGGAATTTTTTCTACATAGTTTTTTACATAGCTTTCCTTGTACATCTGGTCATTTTGTGGTTGCTAGTCTACAAAACATGGATGAAATACTGTGTAGTGTAGTAGCATGAACACTGGGTCTGGTTCAAATCCTGGCTCTAATATTTATTCACTGTGTTACCTTTGGAAAGTTTCTTAACCCCTCTATGTGTCAGTTTTCTTATAAATGAAATGGTAAAAAGAATATAAGAATATAAGATATTTCAAAGATTGCTGTGAAGATTCAGTTGGTTGACACAGAGGAACAATGGTGACTGACACTTAGCACTCATAAATGTTACTTATTTTTACTGTTTTATTGCAACCATTTTATTATTCTGAGAGTATATATTCTTAGTATATACTATAATTGTCAAATATATACTGAGTGTCTATTGTATAGCAAGTACTGTTTTATTTACTGGAATATATAAGAATGTATAAGAGAGTTCTCAGGGAGTTTAAAGTCTCATGTGGGGAAGAAGAAGACAAAATGCAAGGGACAAATTATTATAAATATACACACAGAGTAAGTACTATAGGAGCACAAAGAAGTCAGTAATGATTTTTTAATATTATTACATAAGAATTAGTAATCTTCAGAAAGTTATGAGTAACAGGTACTGAGATCTAGAAATAAAATGAAGTGAAGAATCAGAAAACTGTGTTTAGATTGATAGGCTGGAGAAAACAAAGAGACAAAAAAAAAAAAAAATGGAGACGTAGCAGGGCCTACTGCAAGAGCGATGTTCATAGTTCCGTGGCTATCCAGCATCTGGTTCCCTTCCTAAATGCCTGGATTTCCTTTTCGTGAATTACATTTTATCAGTTTGTATAATTCAGGGACAAAGTGAGGGAGAAACCACACAGTTACAATGGAAGGACTCTTTATACAAGGTTAATTGGTTTACCTGCCTGTGTACCTTCTTAATGTCTTTCTTCCCATATTTCCAAACTCTTCATTTCTCTCATTGACTCTCCATCAACATTAAACATTCTTAAGTCTTTGCTATCTTAAAAGCAATTCCTCTCCTGATGTGCCCTAATTCCTTCACAATCAAAAGTTTTCATTTACTGCCAGGAAAAAACAAAGCAAAAACAAAAACAGAACATTCCCTCAAACATTTTAATGAAGTAACAATGAAAGAATGATGAATGGATGGATGCATAATCTACAGTCCCTGCCTCCAGCCCTTTACCTCGCACTAACCAAACTACCACGCAGTCTCAGGTTCCTGGCACTCTACTGGAATTGCTCTTGCCAAAGTGTCATTCACCTGTGTCACAAAATCCCAGGCATACATTTCAGTTCTTATCTTGATTTCTATGCTTCATTTGAAATTTAAACTCCTTCTTCAGCACAGTTTGTTCTAAATGCTCATAATACCTATTATTAATTTGACTTTTACATGGTTTAAAAACAACAGCAGCAAAAATTAAAGTTTATAAAGTATGTGGGCTAAAATTACCTTGTTTTTTATATTGAATGTACTTACACTGAATGTACTCCAGTAGATTCTCTAATAATGTTGTTTCAGTCAATGTCATTTCATTATAACAAATAAGATACCTACAGTAAAACTGGTTTCATTATATGTTGCTTTGATTATAGTTATAGAACCTATCAACAATGTTAAGTGAGGACTCACTGTACTTACCAGCAGTGCGAATTATGTATGTCCTAAACTCTTGAAAGTTATTTTCTTAAGAACCAATTTAGCCACTTTGTATTTGATAATTATTTCTTTGCTACAATATTTTAAAACAATGTCCTTGGTTTGGCATAAAGCTCAGTTGAAGGTTACAGTATTATTCAGCCATTTCAAACTGGAATGGGAGTGCAGGAAAGTGAACCTCTGAATTATGAAGCACTTGTGCTTTTTCATTTCCCTTCTGCTTTTCTATTTTTGAAAGATTCCTTATTTTCTGCTGTGAAAAACTTCTCAGAGGCTGCTTCTGATTTCCACAGAAGACTAATAGAAGTTGATGTTAATAAGTAAGTTTCCAATGTAGTAAGTTTCCAATGTAAAAAGCCTTACTGTTTTAAAAAGCAACCTGCTTACATGCATAAGCATTCAACCTTAAATCACTGCTACTCAAGTTTTAGTCTGCAGACTGGGAGCATCAGCCTTATCCTTACTTAATACTATTTTAAAATATGGATCCATGGTAAGAGTTATAATTATCTGTTTTTTGTCCTCAAAAGTCCCATTGCAGTGAGAATCATGAATGACCAATTGATGCTCCTGGAAAGAGCATTCATCGATCCCCTTGGTTTACCAGGGAGAAAGTTCTACAGGTAAGGAAGCAACAGGTGTTCCACTAAAGGACACCACAAACCTCACTATGACCAAACCCAGCATACCCAAAGTCTGCTTTAAACAACTGCCATCAGATGAGTGGAAGGTAAATATGTATACGGAGAGGAACACGAATAAGTTTATCCATAACAGTATAATTTGTAATATCAGAAAAATTAATTTCATATTGTTTATTGCTTTGCTGCAGATGTAAATTATAATGATAGTGAAAAATAACTTTGTAACAAAAACCTTAAAGTCAAAGATTCTTAAAAGGGATCCCACAGCTCATGTGGTTCAATTTTCTACATAAATCTTTTCTATAAGACTTCAGATATAGGCAAACCTCACTGTGTTGAGCTTCACATATATTGCCTTTTTAACAAATTGAAGGCAAAACCTTCAACCAGCAAAAAGATTGTGAATCTTGCTTTATGGCAAAGCTCACTTTACTCTGGTGGTCTGGAATTGAACTTGCAATATCTCCAAGGTATGCCTATATGTAGCTATTCAGCCTCTGTTTGAATCTTTCAGGGATGGAATGCTTACTACCTCTTGAGAAAGTCTGTTCCATTTTAGGAGAGATCTATGTAATACACAGATTTGTTCACAAAAATATATTTCCCTGTAATTTTCCCCCTTTGATTCCTTTTGCTATCCAAAATCAATAGAATAAATATCGATCTATTTCCACTTAATATTTTAGGTTTTTGAAGATGGCTCTCATGTTTCCCCTAAAGGAATAGCCTCCTTTTCTATCTAAACCTCTATGTCATGTTTTCTTGGTGGCATTCTTTTGGGTAGTCTTCAGCTTTTCAAGGTATCTCTTAAACTGTGGTTCCTTGGTAGAAATTAGAAACGTCTCATCATTTACAATCAGAAAAACCTATTTTCTAGTTCACTTACATATGTATAATTTAGAACAAGTCACTCCTAGGGTGTTTTCATCTGAGCTAAGATGGTGAAAACTGCTATTTTACAAGGCTGTTTATCATCAATATACATTAAAGATTGTACATTGTAGATTTAAGGTATGCACAAGATTTAGCACAAAGAGAGATACACTTAGTAAGTGGCTGCTAATTTTATAAAATCGTAACACATACAAAGCACCCATGGACAAAGACGGTATGGAGGGAGGGTGGCATGTGGGGGGTGTGTATGGGTAGGGAAGGGGAGAGTAACGGGGGGAAATGGGGACAACTGTAACTGAGCAACAATAAAAAAAAGAACTGCAAAAAAATACACATAAGTGTTTGATACTAAAGAAATAGCCATTAGTTAAGCATTAGTTTTGCAATATATCATTTTAACCCTCTCTTGCCTGTTATTAGTCTATCTTTAGATGTATTTTTTTTATTTATAAGCAAAAATCTCTATTTTGTCAATACATTCAGATTCTGTAGAAGCAAATAGAATAAAAAGATACAGTGTTTCTTCAGGATTCTCTTATAATCCACACCCAGACATTTCTATTACTTTCTACAGAGAAAATCAGTGTTAAGAATTCAGTGTGACATTTTTAATGCATTTAACCATGTATACACTGCCTATAAGAGACTTACTTGAAGTAAGGACACCCACAGACTGAAAGTGAGGAGATGGAAAAAGATATACCATAGAAAATAGAGTAGCTGTACTTATATCAGACAAGGCAGACTTCAAGCCAAAAATAATAGATAAAGAAGGGCATGATATAATTATAAAAGAGTCACTACATCAGGAAGATATAACAACCAATAGAAAAAAGATAGCAGAGGAGTGGATGGGAGTCACGCTGACCTCCTCCCAAGACCAAACTGGAATTGGGACTAAATAGTGGAGAAATCACCTGGGAAACAATGGAACCTTGGAGAGGAGCCTTGGAGCCGCGGACAGACAGTGGATTCAACTCTCACACATCCCAACGTGTGAGAAGTGTGGTGGAGGCTCAAGAGGATGGGCTGGGCGCCCACGGGCACCAGCCCCAGAGGGACATTGAAATGGCCAGTTGGATCCCCCTGAGAAGAACAGGGTCTGAACCATAAACAGGGACCCCTAGACTACAGCAGCTGAAACCAGAAAAACACAGACAAAATGCAACCCCGAAAAGCTTAGGGGCGCTCTCTGCCAGAGACAGGCGGCTGGGGATGCAAAGAGACATTTAAAGGGCCAACACAAAAATTTGTAGTGGCAGCTGCCCTCCTTAATCTCTGGGTAGAGGCAGCAGGAGAGTGGGCTGGTGCCTGAGGAAAGATTGGCGAGGAAAACTTTGTGAAGAGAACAGAAATGGTGGCCAGCGGAGCCCCGGTCATAACTGACCTCCCAGTCTGCAGCTACCACCTCACCCAGGCATAAGAGAATCAATTAACCTGCCTTTTGCATGCTCCACACACAGCTTGTGCATGTGTGGGCCTGGGGGTTGAGTGCAGACTGGCTGGAAGAAATAGAGGATCCCTGGCCAAAGGGGACACACAGCTGCAGAGAGACCCTGAAGGAGAGACTGGAGACAAAGGGGTTGGGGAAAAAAATAGAGGATTATCTGAGATACCTGGAGCAGAGTCCCTCCCCATCCTGTAGTCACCATTTACGCAGGAAGGCCACGCCCCCAAAGAGGGAGAAGTGGGCATGGGAGCCAGAAGATGCACAATTACGGTCCACAGAAATAGTGGATCCCTGGCCGAAGGGGTCACAGAGCTGCCCAAAGCAGGAGTCAGACACAGACAGTAGATTCCTGGAAGGCTCAAACAAATGACCCAAGGTCATACAGGATCAACAACTGACATCATCAGAGGCAGACCTAGAAAGAAAAGTAAAGAAAAAAATAAATAAATAAAAAGACCCACCTACTACCATAGAAGTTTAATCCACAGAGTAGGAAAATCTAGACGGATCAATTGAAGCAGAAGCAAAAATAAATAAATAAATAAATAAAAATAATAGACTCACAAAAGTGGGAAGAAAAAGAAGTTAACCCCAAATGAATAAAAAAGGGGAATCCCCACAGAGAGAGCTCAATGAAATAGAGGCAAGGGAACTATCAGATATTGAATTCAAAACAATGGCTCTAAGGAAGCACAATGGGCTCAGCCAGCTCAAAGATAACTATGAGAAACTGCAGAGAAACTATCAGGATCTTACAGCAAACTATATCATCCTGGAAAAGGACATAGAAAGTATCAAGAAGACACAAGGATATGAAGAATATCACTTCTGAATTGAAGAACACTGCAGAAGGAATCAAAAGCAGGCTAGATGAAGTCGAGGATCGAATCATCGAGATGGAGGATAACGTAGAAAAAAGCTCCAAGAAAGAACAAGAAATGGAAAAAAGACTCAAAAAGAATGAAGAGGCATTTAGGGACATGCAGGACAACCTGAAACGCAATAATATACGCATAATAGGGATACCAGAAGGAGAAGAAGAGCAAGGGATAGAGAACCTCTTTGAAAAAGTAATGATGGAAAATTTCCCCAATTTGAGGAGAGAAAAGATCTCATGGATCCAGGAGGCAAGGAGGGCCCTACTCAAGAGGACCCAAGGAGGCCCACTCCAAGACACATCATCATTAAAATGGCAATTCTCAAAGACAAAGAGAGAATCCTCAAGGCAGCAAGGGAGAAGGAGAAAGTAACATACAAGGGGGCCCCGATACGCCTAGGAGCTGGCTTCTCAACAGAAACACTCCAAGCCAGAAGGGAATGGCAAGAAATATTCCAAGTAATGAAAAACAAGGGCCTACAACCATGGCTGCTCTATCCATCAAGGCTCTCAATTAAATTGGAAGGTGAAATAAGGAGTTTCCCAGACAAAAGAAGGCTAAAAGAATACATCTCTACCAAACCAGCACTCCAAGATATGCTAAAGGGACTGGTTTAAGAAGATGAAGGAAAAGAGTGAGAAAGAGAAAAACACAGGTACAAACAGAAAAAATGAATAGGTTTCTATCAGTAATAACCCTCAATGTAAATGGACTAAATGCCCCAATCAAAAGACACAGGGTAGCTGAATGGATAAGAACACATGGCCCACACATATGCTGCCTACAAGTGACCCACCTCAGAGCAAAATACCTACACAGATTGAAAGTAAATGGATGGAAAAAATATTCCAAGCAAATGGGCAAGAGAAAAAGGCCGGGGTTGCCATACTTATATCAGACAAAGTAGATTTCAAAACAAAGACCATAAAAAGAGACCCAGAGGGGCACTTTATAATACTTAAAGGAAGAATCTATCAAGAAGACATCAACATTGTAAACTTATATGCTCCCAATATAGGAGCCCCCAAGTTTATAAGGAAATTGTTGGATGACTTCAAAAAAAATATAGACAGCAACACACAGATAGTAGGGGATTTCAACACCCCACTCTCAAAAATGTACAGATCTTCCAAACAAAACATTAATAAACATATTGTGGCGCTGAATGACACACTGAATCAAAGAGACTTTACTGACATATATAGAATTTTACATCCCAAAGAAGAAAAATACACATTCTTTTCAAATGCGCATGGAAGTTTTTCAAAGATAGACCACATGATAGGACACAAAGCAAACCTCAGCAAATTCAGGAAAATTGAAATAATACCAAACTTTTTCTCAGACCACAAGGGCTTGAAACTGGAAATCAACCTCAAAGAGAAACTTCAAAAACTTGCAAACTCATGGAGACTGAACAGTAGACTATTAAACAATGAATGGGTCAATAATGAGATAAGAGAAGAAATCAAAAAAATTCTGGAAACAAATGAAAATGAACATTTTCAGGACAGCAAAGGCAGTCCTGAGAGAGAAGTTTACAGCAATACAGGCTTACCTAAAAAAGAAACATTTCAAATTAAAGACCTAACACTACAACTTCAAGAATTGGAGAAACAACAACAAATAAATCTCAGAGCAAGTAGAAGGAAGGAAATAGTCAAGATTAGAGCAGAACTGAATGACATAGAGACAAAAAGAACAATTCAGAGGATCAACCAATCCAGGAGCTGGTTCTTTGAAAAGATAAATGAAAT